TTATAAAAAATTGTGTATTCTTACACGTTTAAACTTCAGTCACCTTCAAAGTACTCTCCATATGATGCAGTGCACCCATCAGGACATTTTTTCCTCTGCTCAAAACAGTTTTTGAACGTGACAGTTTTGATGCCTTTTAGTGCTTCTGCCATTATTTGCTTCATCTCTTCCACATCAGCAAAACGTTTCCCTTTGAGGACTTTTTGCATACAGGGAAACAAAAGTCACTCTCTCAGGGCCAGATTGGGTGATAGGGAGGGTGGGGCATGGGGGTCGTGCTATTCTTGGTCAAAAACTGCTGAACACTCAGTGTGACATGGGCAGGTGCCCTTGTAAATCACCCACCGTGAAATGGACAAATGTGTTGAGTCTTCAAAAAAAATTTACTGAAGCCAACCGCAGCCTCTCCCGACAGTGCCAGCTGGTACGGTGATACAGATGGGTTCCTAGAACACTCACCTAGCAGGGGAAGCCTGTATTACAAGGGGCCCACACTCCAGAAGACAATTCCATTTTGGGGGGTGTTCTGCCTCATAGGTGAGAGAGCTGCCTCTCAGATGACCTTGAGGGTTGCCGGCTGCGGAGAGCTCAGCAGCAGGGAGGTCAGGGCTGGAGCCAGTGCTGTGCGGAGACAGAGCAGGGGCTGTGGAGGGACTGGTCAGACGCCAGGGACGGGGGGCTGGAGTGCCGACATGGGCTGAAGTCTGAATCTCTGGGAAGATAGAGTCAACAAAGTAGCTTGTGTGTGGGGTGTGAGAGGAAGAGGAGGCCAGTAGGCAGCACTGATTTTTGTCTCTTGGCTGGAGCAGGTGGAAGGATGGAATTGCCAGTGACTGACATGGGGAAACTGAGGGTCTAGGGGAGAAGCTGGAACAGTCTGGGCTTGTCCTACCCAGGAGCACTTGGCCTGCCCAGCATTTTAGATGGACCCCATGGCCCACCCAAGGGGACTGACTTCTCCCCTTGGAGTCCCAGATGTGCATTTGATTCTGGGGTAAGGCATTATATTATGTCAGCTACCATATTCATGAAACCAGTCAGACCGGTTACCTAATTAAATTGGGTGGTGAACAGTGTTGCCTGTTCAGTGTCCCTGGCAGAGAATGGGCTCAGGGAAGTGGGAAGCAGGAGTGACTGCCTGCTGAGCTCAGGCCCATTGGGACCCCGGGTGGGTTGCTTGTGCCTGCCAGTGAGAATGTGCACCGACTACCGCACATTTCTTGTGTTCCTGGGCATGACTTCTAAGGCCCACGGGTGTCCTGCCCTGAAACCCTAGCAGGCGGGACTGATGCTGCAGCGTGCTCACTGTTAGTGTTGGAGTCGAGTTCGGCTCAGTGAGCCTCTCTCCTCACCGAGGCCCCATGTGGGCACACGGAGCAGGAAGTAGCAGGGAGCTGGTTCATGGCTCGGAAGGGAAGGAGGAAGCAGGCCTCAGTATAGGCTTTTTCCTGCCCTGTTGAGAAAGGGCTGGAGAGTTATCTGTTGGGTGTCTGGGCAGGAGGAAAGAGCCAGATGCTGGTGAGCAAATACAGTTGCCACAGATGTTGGCAGTTTGTTTACTGGTGTTTGTCAGAAAACCTGATCCTTGCACCAGAAGGGTATGGGAGAAGCAAAGTGTTAAGTGTGGCATTCCTAAGACACAAGGTCCTAGCTGGTCATCCCTGGTCACACAAGAAGGGATGGACCACTGGCCATATTGGGGCGCCTCCAGGAAGAACGGCTGTGGGCTCTGGGTCTGTGTGCAGGATGGGCTTCGTGCCAGGGGCGCAGCCGTCTCTCAGGTTTTACTAGCAGTGGCGTTTGGTGCCAGTGAGCAGTGCGATGCCTCACCGCTAAGCGATCATAGCTGTCCTGGATTTAGGGGTTTTAGAGAAAACTCTTCCTCTTTCTGACTCCTGAAGTAGCCGCCTCCTCGGGGCTTCCTGATCCGTGCTGTGACTCACTCAGCCTTTCTCATCCAACTTTCTCTGTCATGCTGCCTGAGTTAGGAGAGCAGAGGCCCAGGGAAGGTTTGCTGTGAGTCTTTTGGCTCCCACAGCGACAGCAACAGGGCAAGTTAGGCTACAAAGGACAGGGAGAATGGCCCCGGCTGTACTTGGGCTTTTTGCTGTGGGTTGTTTCTCATAGTTCATCCCGTACCTTCATGTGACCTTGAGAAAGTCAGCCACCCAGCCTGGACTTCTGTGCCTCATCTGTGCATCTCCTTTTTAAGATGACTTTCAGAAGAACCCCAGTGTGTGTGATGGATAAAAGTGGGGCTCTGTGGTTAGCCCTCCATAGAGGTTACTGATGCCCCCAGAACCCCTGCCTAGTCTGAGGTTTCTTGTTCTCTGGAGAAGCTTCTGACCATCATCACCTACCCTCACGGAGCCTGTGTGAGTCACACTGTCCTTCTGTGCCGTGCTTGTGCCTCCTCTGCCATCATCTGCCTGCCTCCACACGGGTGGAAGGGACATTTCTGGGTTTGCTGTTGACTTGATGTCCTGTGTCCTATTGTCCAAAGGGACCACGTGTCCCTCACAGAGTGAGGAGGAGGCCATTAGTTTCATGAGCGCTTCCTTTTTTTCGTTCCTCCCCCGCCCCCATCCCAGTCCTCTAAAGAGCTCCCCACACCCTCTGTCCTCTTTATTTTTAGTGTAGTTTTGCTTCTAATGAGCTTCAATCTTCAAATGAGGAGAAAAATGAGGACCGGGGGAATATAGAAATCCTTGGTGAATTACCTTAAATTAATGAGACTAATAGAATGGGATCAAGCTCAGCTGTGCAAATTAGCTTTCTCTTCTGGGTCTTGGTGACTTAAATTGTAGATTCTAATTAAATGCCCCAAAATAACCACAAAATCGTCTATGATCTGTGAACTCTATCAAGTATAAAATTACTCTCTAGATGTTCCCCTTTAAGCATTCTATCCCCAGAATCTCATAACGCCTGTAATACTAACCCTTCTCCTAGGGGGAAGGGGCACATGGGTAGAGTGGTCAGGGACCCTGCAAGGGGAGGGAGGAAGGGAGGATGGAGCCTTTCTTGGGCTATTGAGATGTTAGGGTACAGATATAGTCCTCTGTTAGGTGGCATGTCTCTGCTGTTCCAACTGAAGAGGGGTGGTGGCTGTAACTTCATGAACAAGCTGGGAGAAGGTTCAGGAGAGAAGACGAGCGCCTTCCTCTGGCTGATTCATTTCCAGGGTGCCACCTTCACCTCCGGCCGGCATGGGATGCAGCCTGCAGTGCTGCAAGGGGATGACAGTGAGCCAAGAAAGGGAGCAAGCGGTTTCCTGCAGCCATGCCCCAGACCTGGCCGGTGTCTTGGTGTGGTCTCCTGCTGGCCCTCTGCTGCTGTATCACATCTTTTTAAGGGCTATAACCAGAGCACAGTTGGAATAGTCCATTAAAAACCCACATGATGCAAAACTGACATAAACATTTTCTCATACTGTGCTGTCTTTATTGTAGCCATTGACAAAATTAAGCTTTTTATAGAGGTATAAAAATAATTGGTGTGCAGCTCAATGAGTGCCACACAGTAAATTCACTCATGGAACCCAGACTGGGAGACAAAACCCCCCAAGCCTTCTCACACCCCCTCCATTCCCCATCAGCACTTGCCTCGCAGAGGGACCACCATCCAGACTTAAACATCACACTCATGTGGCTGTGCCTGACCCTCATAGGAATGCAGTTGCCTGGATGCACTCTCTGTGTCTGGCTCCTCCCCTTGTCCTTGTTTCTAGGAGTTGTCTGTGTTATTTTGTCCATTCTCCTGTTGATAGACGTTTGGATTGTTTCTGGTTTTTGACTGATAAGAATGTTACTGCTGTAAATATTCTTCACACATCTTGGGGGGGAATATATGTATACCTTTCTGTTAGCAATTCCAAATCATAGGGTGGATGTGTGTTCAGTTTGAGTAGATACTGTGATTACCCTTTACTCCTCCAGCTGTTTGTCTGGCTCCATTATTCCACATCCTTCTAACACTTGCTATTGCCTGCCTTTTTGTTGAAGCTATTCTAGTAGGTGTGCAGATGTAGCTTATGGTTATGATTTGCATTTTCCTGATGACTAATGAGATTGAAGAACTTTTCATATTTTTATTGACTTTATTATGATCATGTGAACAGCCGTACAATAGTGTGTCTTGTAGGTGTTAAAGAATGGACTCACTTGTAGTTGGGCATTTAGGTTGGCTTTGCCGATTGTCATTGTTAAGTAATGCAGCAATAAGCATCTTTGGTTTATTGGTGAGAATGTTGTAGACAAATTTTGATAAATAATGTCAGATTGCTAATGTCAAAATGCTTGTACCACTCTGAAATGGTATCAGCAATACAGGAGAGCCCCATAGAATTTACCCTAGGGTCTGCCAACAAAGCATATTCTCCATAGAACAACAAACCACTTTTGGAAGACTAATTTAGGGAATATAGATGTGGTGAGCATTACTGTAAGTATTATGAGCGAGTTTGGTCACTTTTCAAAATGTTTACCATGTGTTTACTGTTTTATGAATTCTTACCTTTTGCTACTTGGATTTTTAGTGAGTTTTTAAAAATTAATTTGTACATTTCAAATTAACAGATATTAGTACTGCAAGTACTTTCCCATTTTTATCACATATTTTTCTTTTTTTAAAGATTTTAGGGGTGGGGGAGAATGTGTGGTTGTTCTCATGTACCCCCTGCTGAGGAGCTGGCCTGCAACCCAGGGATGTGCTCTGACTGGGAATCAAACTGGTGACTCATCGGTTTGCAGGCCAACGCTCAATCCACTGAGCCACACCAGCCAGGGCTTTATCACATATTTTTGACTGTATGCCTTTGAGGTTAGTAAACTAATGAATCTTCCCTTTGGCTAGATTGGTGTGTGGAGCTCAAAGGAACTGCGGTAGCTTTTGGCTTCCCCATATTTCTAGGTATCAGAATTATAACATACGTGTTATCTGTTCACAGGAACTCCGTGTTTGTTGACCAACTTGTTAAATTTATAATTTTTTATTTTTAGATGATGGATGTAGACGTGCTTCTATGAAGAAATGCCACGTGTCTCTACTGATCCAAGAACAAATATGTCCAGTGAGTTACTGGGTGAATTCACTCAAGAGTGGGAGCACAGGCCCTTCAGAGACAGAGATGCTGACACACTTGGAGCAGGCAGGGGTGTCTGGATATTGGAGGCTATGGAAAGGGGTGTTTTAAACCGGCCTTCTTGCTCAGTCTAATTTTCTTAACTTCTAAAGTGTGGTTCCTTCTAGAGACAGCTGGAATGACAGAGTATAGGGTTGGAAAAATGTGAAACTCACTTCTTGCTGCTTTCCCCACTTAGAGTGGAGTGGGAGTTCTGTGCTGTTTGATCTGTGCTGTTTGCAGTGCTGTCGCTGCAGTGGCTGTTTTCACAGGGAAGTCCATTCCCACAGCACAGCACTGCCCACTTTAGTTAGGCATAGGTTATCACGCACGCATGTGTGTTCTGTGGGAAACAAAGCCCAGGACTGAGTCCCACATGAGGTTTCTGTAGTTCTGGCAAGGAAGAGGGCAAGGGTGGAGGACATGTGCCTTTGTCTCCTCAATGCTCGCCATGCTGCTGTCCTTCTGACAGAGGTCGTAGTGAATTGGTTTAAAATTTAATAAAATTCTATGAGGCCTGCCAATGGAAAAGCATAAAAATAAAGCAAACAAGAAAATCTCAAAAGCCATATTTTATGATTCATTATAAACCATCATTTAATGTGGCATATCTTTATTGGAGGGAACACGGTTTCTGTCTGGGATCCTACAGACATGCCGTGTGCGTATGTGTGTGACAGCGTGCTGGGGAGTGCACAGGAAGAGGTGACTGAATAGACCTAGACCATCAGAGTCTTTACTCAGCCCTGGCTTGCTGGGACCCGGGCTTTGCTGCATCTGCTAACGTTAGATCACAGACTCTCCACGACTGCACAGTGTCTTTCTGCCACCATCTCTGTGCTTCTCACCAGTGTTTGTTTCTGTTTCTCAGGCCTACTGCCACCTTAGGGGACTAGGGTGGAGTGACAGCTCTTCCCAGGAAATCAGGCATCGTCTGACCGAGGAGCAGGAAGCACATCATCACCAATGACAGCATGACAACAAGAGAGCACAGCCCTCGCCATGGTGCCAGGGCCCGTGCAATGCAGCGGGCTTCCACCATCGATGTGGCAGCTGACATGCTTGGTCTCTCTCTGGCAGGTGAGCCTCATGGGTCTTGAACCCAGCTCCTGGTGGGTCCCACACTGCGGCAGCTCTGAGAGGGCCAAACGTACCTGCTGGGGCAGCTGGTGGGTGGCCAATATGAGCCCCTCGACTGCCCCAGGTTGGCACCCTCTGCTCGAGTCGGAATAGGAAGGGGAAAGTCAGCACTCTTCCTGAGAAGCGCCTCTACTGGAACCAGCCTGCTGTCAGATTTCCAGTTTGGGGGGCTGGTTTGCCAGGAGATAATGTGGGAATGTCCACAGGGCTGTCTGGCCAGTGCCAGGCCACAGTAAAAGCCTGCCTGTTGCGAGCATACAGACCTGAAAAGGAAGGGGTTTGGACTTGGGGTCTGAGACTTATTAGGAATCTCAAAATAAAATGTTGAGAAAATGAAGAAATCATCTTGCATAACAATTTTGAATGGAAAAATCAAGTGGAATGTTGGAGTTTTTTCCCCCCTTATTTTATTGAGAAATAATTGACACATATCACTTATAAATTTGAGGTGTGCAGCATGATGGTTTGATTTATAAATATTGTGAATTGATTACAAGTATGTTGGGGTTTGTTTGGTTATTTTTTTCATAAAATCTAAAAGCCGGGAAAAGTTGATCAAGGGTGACTTTTTTCTGGCATTTCTTTTTATTCAGGAAATCTACAAGATCCAGATGAACCCATTTTAGAATTCAGCTTAGGTGGGTGTCTTCTAAACTTTTTTTTTAGTTTGTTTTAAAATATATGTTGCTCAGAAAACAAAACACAACCGCCAGCTTGTGTTTGTCTTAGAGAACTTGCTGCTGCCGCCACTGCTGCTGAGGTGTTTTTGAGAAGATGAATCCAGAGGCTGGTGTGGGCTTCCGTGGGTGGGGGGAGCCTGGGGACTGCATGCCTGCAGGGCTAGAGGCGGTGAGCTGCGGTGACAGCCTCTCCTCCCCTACCCTTGTCCCTCTGGGTGGACCCGGGAGGGGTGAGAAAGCAGGGTTTAGGGCCAGCCATGCCACACTGGCCATGAGGCCCCTGTATAATTGAGGTTGGCTTTCTTGCCCTCATTTCCTGCTCAGTGAAGGAAGGTGATGACACCTGCACGCTCTCCCTCTCAGAGAGCATCAGAGAGAGAGAATGGACTAAAATTAGTAGAATGTGCCAGCTCCGGGGTCAGGGAAGTATGGCATTACAGTGGCTTTCCCAGGAGGTTAGAGAGCAAGGTGGGGTGAGCCGAGATGCTTCTTCTCTGGAGTCAGTGCTCTCTGGTGTCCTTTCCCCTTTCCTCATGCTAAGCGTGGTGGTCAGCAGTGGTCAGTGACCTGGCAATAGTGTCCAAGAGGTGATGTGACATAAAAGAAGCACTTCCTGGGGAGTCAGATGACCTGGAATCTAGTCCAGGCTGTGCCAGTAAACCAACTGCTCAGCCTTCAGCCTATGCTTGATTTTGCTGGACATGTGATTATGTAGATCAGTAGCTCATTCCTTCCTTGCTGAGTGGTTGTCCATTGTGTATATGAACCATAGGTTATTCTCCTGCTGATGGACATGTGGGTTATATATAAATTATATTTTATATATTTATTATATATAAATTATAATTTATAGCCTCAAGAGAGAATGGTATGTCCATCCAGCAAGAATGGGATACTCTAAAGAAAAAGAGAACAGTTCAAGAATATGGATAATTTTAGAAATTTAAAATAGGATAGAAAATATTTAAAAATTCAATAAAAGTTGGAAGATATTTAAGGAATTAATCCAGAAAGTAAAATGTTAAAGGCAAAATAGAAAATGGGAGAGAAATTGAAATGGAAAATTAGAGAACATATTTGGGAGGTCCAACACTTAGGAGAAAAAATAGAAAAGAATGTAAAGGGGAGCTTCTGGTCAAGATGGAGGCATAGGTAACCACACCTCACCTCATTGCACAGCCATAAGAAGGAATACAATTAACTTAAAAACAAAAAACACCCAGAACTGCCAAAAAATCACCCAGAAAAACACCCAGACCTGTATGGAAGTCAGGCAACCAAGTATTTAAAGAAGATAAATTCATCCAGATGGGTAGGATGGGCGGAGATGGAGAATTGGGGTCGAGAGGACTCAGTGTGGTGGTGGCCAGCCTGCAGTGGAGAGGAAAGAAGTGGTGAGGTAGCGAGGCAACAGAGGCTGGCAGAACAGGCAGCCCCACATTCACATGTGCAGTGGATAAAAATCAGGTGGACCCCTTGTGAACGAGCAAGCCCAGCCCCAGGCCAGACCCCGCAGCCCAGGGCTTCAGCGCTGGGAAAAATAAAGCTGTATAACTTCTGGCTCTAAATACAGCGGGATTTGGGGCGGAGGAAGACACTTCTGAAGAGTCCTAAACATACACAAACCCATCTGCCCTGAGAACCACAAGCAGGACAGCAGTTGAAGGGGTGCCAGTCACCCTTGAGAAGTTAGTGAAGTGACTGGAAACAGGGCAAGGGCCAGGCAACTCCCCAGAAGTCAGCCAGCCGCAGCATTGTTCCCTCTTCAACCCTTCCCCCATACACAGAGCCATGGATGCCCCACTCTGGTGAATACCCAAGGCTCTGCCCCATACAATTTAACAGGTGCGCTAAAATGGAATCAGAGTGGCGCAACCTAGTACACAGACACAGGGAGGCTGCCAAAGAAATCAGGAGACAAAGAAATACGGCCCAAATGAAGGAGAAGAACAGAACCCCAGAAAAAGAACTAAGCGACGCAGAGATAGCCAACCTATCAGATGCAGAGTTCAAAACAGTAGTGGTCAGAATGCTCGAAGATCTCATTGAATATGGCAAAAGCATAAGGGAATAAATGAAGGCTCTACTAAGGGAAATAAAGAAAAGTCCACAGGAAACTAACAGCGGAGGGAGGGAAGTCAGGATTCAGATAAATGATTTGGAACATAAGGGAGAAATAAACATTCAACCAGAACAAAATGAAGAAACAAGAATTCAAAAAAATGAGGAAAGTTTAAGGAGACTCTGGGACATCTCCAAAAGGGCCAACATCTGAATCATAGGGGTGCCAGAAGGAAGAGAGAAAGAGCAAGAAATTGAAAATGTATTTGAAAAAATAATGAAAGAAAACTTCCCTAATTTGGCAAAAGAAATAAACATACAAGTCCAGGAAGCAGAGAGTCCCAAACAGGTTGGACCCAGAGAAGTCAACACCAAGACACATCATAATTAAAATGTCAAAGATTAGAGATAAAGAGGAAATCTTAAAGGCAACAAGAGAAAGGCAGACAGTTACCTACAAAGGAGTTCCCAAAAGACTATCAGCTGACTTCTCAATAGAAACCTTGTAGTCAAGAAGGGACTGGCAAAAAGTATTCAAAGTGATGAAAAGCAAGGACCTACAACTAAGATTACTGTATCCAGCAAAGCTATCATTTAGAATTGAAGGATAGATAAAGTGCTTCCCAGACAAGGTAAAGCTAAAGGAGTTCATCTTCACCAAGCCCTTATTATATGAAATATTAAAGGGACTTATTTAGGAAAAAGATCAAAACTATGAACATTAAAATGACAACAAACACAACTATCAACAACTGAGTTTAAAAAACAAAAACAAACTAAGTGAACAACTAGAACAGGAATAGAATCACAGATATGAAGATCACATGGAGGGTTATCAGTGGAGAGGAGGGGAGAGGGGAAAGGGGGAGAAAGGTACAGAGATTCAGAAGCATAAGTGGGTATGTACAGAATAGACAGGGGGATGTTAAGAACAGTAGAGGCAATGAGCAAACAAAGAACTTACATGCACAACCCATGGACATGAGCTGGGGTTGGGGGGTGGTTGCTGGAGGAAGCGGGGATCTGGGTGGAGGGGGATAAAGGGGGAAAATTGGGACAACAGCAATAGCATAATCAATAAAATATACTTAAAAAAATGTAAGGGAGGACATTACCTACAGGTCTCTCAGGACTGAAGAACGTGTTTCTAGGTTAAAAATGCCCACCACTGCCCTGGCTGGTGTGGCTCAGTTCATTGAGCGCTGACCTGTGATCCAAAGGGTTGCCAGTTCAGTTCCCAGTCAGAGCATATGCCTGGGTTGCAGTCTAGATCCTCAGTAGCAGGTGCAGGAGAGGCAACCACACATTAGTGTTTCTCTTCCCCTTCCTCCTTCCCTTCCCCTCTGTTCCAAAATAAAGAAATAAAATCTTAAAAAAGAAAATGCCCACCAGGCCGAGCATATTGAAACAAAATCATCATAAGGCACATTATGCTGAAATTTCAGAGCATGGATAATAAAATGAGGACTCTATAAATTTCCAAAGAAGAAAAAAAATGTTTATATCCAAGTATCAAGGATGAAACTACCAGGGAGAGTCTTAGTGACATTAGAAACTTGAAAGCAGTAGGGCAACACTTAATATGGGTGGAAAAATATTTCCAATCTAGAATGCTGCACTCAATCAGACAATCAGTGAAATGTGAAGGTAGAAGGAAACTTGTTTCAGCTATACAGAGTCTCAAATACGCTTACTTCCCCCACATTCTTTCTCTGGGAGTTGTGGAGGATGTGCTTCACCCAAAAGAGGGAGTAAATTGAGAAAAAAGGAGACATGGGATCAGGAAACAGGCAGGGTCCAACATAGGAGGGAATTAAAAGAAATCCCACTTGGCTTATAATGAATAATACTCAATTAATTCTAATAATGCAGAATATGGATTTAACAAAAAAAAAATGAGCTAAACTATTTTAGCCTACAGAAGATGAGAGTTGATATAATTGAGTTAAAAATACTCACCTCTAGAATAGAAATCAGGATGTTTCTGCATGTGACAAATCAAGAAGAGTAGCATAGATACATGGAGGGAGAAGCAACTCTAAGAGGTAAGGGTGAATTTTATGTGAAATGAATTTTATCACAATAAAAAAAGAAAAAAAGGAAAAAGGTGAGGAGCCAGATGATTGAATGGTTCAAATATTTTGTCTTAAAAATAAAAATTTAAAGTTAAAAAGTGCTTAAGTAAAAACCTTTATTTCAGCAAATGTTAGAGGAAAAGAAATCCCTGAGAGAGAGGGGATCACAGTTGGCATTTTGGTGTATGTGCTTCCAGATATTTTTTTACCCACACAATGATATAATGATTTTGTCTGGGGAGGTGGTAGAATTATTTACAAAAATGTCATCCTAGTGTTCTTAATGTAGCAAAATATCGCTGGCACCTTTTCATTTTAATAAGCATGGATCTGCCTCTTCGTGTTGGGTCGCTAGATAGAGCCTTTGTAGGGCTGTGCCACATTTATCTGAACCAGTCTCTTGTTGGACATCTAGATTCCTTCTGGTTCGCCATTATAACCACTACAGTGGACATACTTGTACATAGATCTTTCATATATTTTGCTGATTATGTCCTTAGGATAAATTCTTGGGTATAGGGCTGCTGAATTAAGTGATATATCCTTGAAATATATTTTAATAAATTTATCTCAACAGCATTTACTCAGCTGGGATTATAGATGATTTGGTTGGAGAAACAAGGCATAGGTATCAGAGAGTAATGGTTTCTATGAAAATAGGCTAAAGGAGTGATATAAGTGGTCAACAGCAAGAGATGTGACTGAGGGCTGCTGAGAGAAAGCTTCGTGGAAGCTATGGCACTTTGAGCTAGGAACTAAACACTGGGTGAGATTTAGGTAGGCTGGGTTGGGGATGAGACCAGGAGAGAATGTCACCTGTAGGAAGATGGGTTCTGAAAGTGGCATTTGGCTCATCAACCCTTAAACTGATATTAATCTTCCCAGCTTTTGGCCACCTGTTGTTATTCCTCAGTCTGTCTGCCTTCACATGTGCCTGGAAGGTCCAAATATTCCAGCCTCGCATGGGTGTTAAGAACCCCCACATGATGAAAGGGCACGTCAAGAGAGACCAGACCAGGGGTCACTTAGGTCATAGCATAAATGACAGAGGGAAAGCAGAATAGTCAAAACCCTGGTTCCCTTTGAAGTAGACATAGTAGAAGAAATAGAAGAGAACTTAAAGATAAAATCTTAAAAGTTCTAGAAGTAAATAAAGGATATAACTCACCACCTTGCCGTTGCTGCCATAACAAATTACTACAAATTTAGCAATTTAAAACAACACAAATTTATTACCTTTACAGTGCCCTAGGTCAAAAATCCAATGTGCTCCATGGAGTCTCTGCTTAGAGTCTTACCACACTAAAATCAAAGTATCAGCAGGGCTGCATTCCTTTCTGGGGGCCCTACGGGAGAACCCGTTTCCTTGCTTGTTCTGACTGTGGGTGAACTTTAGTTCCTTATGGTTTTAGGGCTGCAGTCCTCATTTCTTTGCCAGCTACCAGTTGAGACTGGTTCTTAGCTTATAAAGGCCATTCACTTTTCTTGACTCTGGGCCCCGTTTTCTGTCTTCAGAGCCAGCAATAGCAGGTCCAAGTCAAGTGCCTTTTATACTTTGAATCTTACCTCTTTTTCCATGCTCACATCTTTCTAACTCTACCTTTTTGACTCCTACTTTTAAGAGCTCATGTGAATAGACTAAGACCACTCAGATAATCCAGAATAATCTACACATGTCAAGATTCCATCACCTTGGTCACATCTATAGAGTCCTTTTGCCTGTGATGTAATATATTCATAAGTTCCAGCCCTGGCCAGTGTGGCTCAGTCAGTTGGAGTATTGTCCCATAAACCAAAAAGTTGTGGGTTCAATTTCCAGTCAGGGCACATGCCTAAGCTGCAGGTTCGGTCTCTGGTTGGGGTGAGTGAAAGAGGCAACTGATCAATGCTTCTCTCTTACATCGATGATTCTCTCCCTTTCTACCTCCGTCCCTTCCCCTTTCTCTAAAATCAATAAGCATGTCCTTGGGTGAGGATTAAAAAATAAATAAAAATATTCACAGGTTTCAGGGACTAGGATATGGATAATTTGGTGTGGGGGGGTCAGTTAAGGGATATTTTTCTGCCTACCACTTCCTAAAATTAAAAATCTAAAATAAAATAATTTTAAAATCTTTAAGAAAATGACTAGATAAATTATAGATTGGGAAAAAGATATTCACAACACATATGCCTGTCAAAAGAAAAGATCTAAAATAAAATGCTTACACATCAACAATTAAAAAGTCAACAATCCAATTTAAAAATCAGCGAAGACTTGATTAGACTCTTGACAAAAGAAGCTCTAGAAGTGAACAAAAAGCGTATGGTGAAAAGATGCTTAACATCACAGAAGTGCAAATTAAAACACATCCATTAGAACAACTAAAATAAGCACTAACCTCACCAAATGTTGGTGGGGATACAGAGCAACTGGAATTCATGTACATTGCTGATGGTATTGTAAAATAGTGCAACCACATTAAAAATCTTAGCTTATGAAGTGAGGCATATCCTCTGCTATAACCTAGAAATGTCACTTGTAAGTGCTTCTGCAAGAGAAATGAAAATGTAACTTCACATAAAGACATGGACAAGAATGTTTATAGCACATTTATTTATAATGGTTCAACATGAAAGAACTCAAGAGCCCATTAACAGTAGAATGGATAAAAAAAATGTTTTTGGTACATTTATGCAATGGAATATAACATATCAATTTAGAAGAAAGTGAATTATCAATACGTATAACAATATAGGTGAATCTTTAAACATTCCATTTATGTGCAATTCAAGACTGAACTAAAGTGATGGAAGTCAGAAAGTGGTTGCAGAGGTGGGGAATTGACTGGAAATATAGAGGGAACTTCCTAATCTGATGGAAAAAGTTCTCTACCTTGCTTTGATGATGGTTACATGGGTATATATGACTGTCAGAACTCATTGAACTGAAAAGCTAAGCTCTTTATATTTTATTATATCCAATAAATTATAAAAACTCAAGATACATGAGAAGATGTTACCAAGGGAATAATCAGAGGACCAAAATTAATTTTCAGAAGTAAAAATCAACTTCTTTTTTTTTTAAGATTTTACTTATTTATTTTTAGAGAAGCGAAGAGAGGGAGAGAAACATCAATGTGTGGTTGCATCTCGTGCGCCCCCTCCTGGCGGCCTGGCCTGCAACCCAGGCATGTGCCCTACACTGGGAATCAAATCGGCAACCCTTTGGTTTGCAGGCCAGCACTTAATCCACTGAGCCACACCAGCCAGGGCAATTTCTAAATGTTAAGTCACCAGTGGGGGCAGGAATGACAGAGTAAAGCCCTCCAACAATTTTTCCTCCATAAAGGTGATGAGAACACTGGCAAGAATGGTCAAAATCAGTTGTTTCAGAGCTCTGGAAATTAAGCAAAAGCTGGAGGCACTGCAGGGAGCAGTTATTGCTCCTCCAAAAGAGCTAGATGTTTCTACAAGTGGTGAAGTTTGATTTACCATATTTTTTTAAAAAGATTTTATTTATTTGTTTTTTTAGAGAGGGGAAGGAAGGGAGAAAGCGAGGGAGAGAAACATCAATGTGCGGTTGCCTCTTGCTTGCCCCTACAGGAGACCTGGCCTGCAACCCAGGCTGATTTACCATATATTTAATCGGTTCCAAGATGTGTATTTTTTCATGTTGTAATACCTCTTTAATTAAAAAGTATCTCATAATCAATAGCATAGTCTAATGGCAGTGGGTCATTTTTTTCTTCCATAGTGCATTTTGCAACAGATAGCATGTTAGGTTCAATGAAATAGGACCATTTTTCCTGTGGGTCACTTCTATGATAGAGTTTACTGAGTCTCATATTCTATTTCAAAATGCATAGTATGATACATTTTCTAAATGGAACAATTCTAGTTTTAAAAAGTAATATTTTTAGTAATCTCGCATTTGATATGAATCTTGTAAGGACTCATATCAAATAAATACGCAATGACTAAATTTTTTTAAACAGTTTTGTTTGCCACAGCATTTTAATTTGCTTCCAGTGTACACCTACACAGAGACTGTGGGCAGCGCAGGCTTAGGGCTAGCGTGGCACCATGGGGCACAGGCATGAGCAGCTGTGTTGTGATTTCATAGATGTCAGGGCTGCTTAGCTCAGTTGGTTAGAAGATCACAAAGGTCAAATGTTATGGTCAGACACCATATGAGATTGTTGGTTCTGGGCTCCATTCTGTGGACACAGATGCGGCCTTTGACTCAGCCTTCCCCTGGCACTTAGGGCACTGCTGTCATGGGGGTGGGGGTAGGAGTGGAGGAGTGAGAAGAGATTGTTTCCAATTTAAAAAATCAGATCACTGCAACAACTGACAATGTAATTATCTAATCCCTCTGAATCTCATTTACTTTTTTGCTCTTTGAGTGTTTGTGGAACTGAGACCTAACTAGAGCCTTGCTTCCTGATACTAAAGGATTCATTTTTTTCCCCACCTTGATTCCATAGCTTGCAGTGAGCTGCATACGCCATCGCTAGATCGGAAACCAAATAGTTTTGTAGCAGTGAGTGTGACCACCCCTCCTCAGGCATTCTGGACGAAGCACGCTCAGACAGAGATCATCGAGGTGGGTGATGTGGGCCCCCAGGGCTCGCAGCTTATGCCGCTTCAGTGGGAGGGCTGCTCAGCAACCTGACCACCTGAGCTGTCATAACATCTATGTGAATTGTTGCTATTTTCCATGTCTTTTTAGTAATTGGTATTTTCCATCACACTCTCCTGGATGGCATTTTTATTTGCCATGTCCTTTACAATTGTTGCTCTGCTACTGGCTGGTTATTTTTTTAACATGGATGCTATAAGGTTGATTGCCTTTTAAGAGGTGAGATCCAATTCTTCCTTGTCTCTTCCACTTGGTTGCTATTGGAGAACTGTGCTCATTAATCAAAGTTTGGAGAGTAACTCTTAACCAGCCCTCTCACTGGACATACCTCTATTTTTATTGGTTTTTATTTTTATATCCTTTTTAGTTGTATGCTATATATTTACTTTTTACATTAAATGATATGCATTCACCTTGGAAGTTTTACAAAAGCCTTTCAACTAATTGAGCACATTGTATAAGTTGTGTAACTAAGTGTAGGAGTTGCTGGTGTGAGATTCTCCAGGGTTCTGTTGGCGATGTGCGCGTCTGTGTGAATTATGTGTTCCTTGGCAGGCTCCAGCAGACTCCCACTGGACTTCCTCTTCATCCCTAACTTTATATTTTGGAGATAGACCTTTTCATTCTCTTGTAAACTTATTTCCAAGTTCAACTCAACAATTCTGTTTTCTAAGCCTTTTTTGAGCACTACCTAGCCATGAAGCACAGTGCTGGGCACTGTGGGTGATACAGAGACTGTTGAGGCCCAGCTGCTGCTCCCAAGAGATTACAATTCTGTGGGTGGGGAGGCAGAAATGAACGTGTCCACATCTATACCTAGCAGAGTGTGGAGGGTGTTAGAGATGAGGATAGTACCAAGAGGATGGGTTCCCAGGCAGCTCTGAGGATCGGAGGTAGCTTCCTCCAGTCACTTAGTGCAATTCTGTCTGACTCCATAGGTCTGGGGTGGGGCCCAAGACTCCATTTCTCACAGGTTCCAGGTAATGCCCTTCCTGCCAGTATAGGGACCACATGTTCAGAGCATTGCAGAGTTTTGTGGTAATGACACAAAGGCCTGGTGGTGGGGGAGGATACCGTATTTTTGCTGTGTATAATGCGTACCTACATTCTGGGCCCAGACTTTCAGGGAAAAAAATCTTTCATTTTAATTTTTTAATTCAATTTATTTATTTTTATTTAGGGATTTATTTTTTGTATTATAAAGCAATTTTGGCACTTATTTTTAAACCTGTTACGGTACAAGAAGTTTTATGTGACAAATAATTACAGAACACAAGAGATGCAAGGTACTAGAAATTGGCATATGGATATCATTATTGCTTTCTAGAGTTATATTCTTAATGCATAAGCATAAATAAAAGAATTTAAAACATTTATATAGCTATGGAATTAGTTCTGCCCATGTGTAACATGCTTCCTTATTTTTCCCTCAAACACTTGAGTGAAAAAGTATGCATTATACATGGCAAAATATGGTGACTTTATCCTGTTTGGTATGTGCAAAAGGCACAGGTGGAGGGCCAGGGGGAAACCTTGACCACCAGGCTGGGAGCTTGTTTGCAGCTGGCCGGCACAGGCTTTTATGCAAGGGTCACCTGACCAGACTCAGACTGATGTGTAGAAGTGTGACTTGGCACCTGATTGCCCTGGAAAAGAGGGGTGCATATGAGAGAGGATTTGTGGAAGAATTCATTGTCCCTGGGTGGTTGAGAACAATGGAGGAGGAGGCGCCAAAACAGATGCCCAAATCTGTAGCCTCCTTGGAGGGGAAGTCAGAGATGGTTAGCCAGGGGCGACTGGAGGGAGGCTAGGTGAGCTGTCCAGCAGACTGAGAGACTGCATCTGGAGCTGCAGGGGCACACAGCCAGAGGCCTGGACCCCGCCACACAAGTATAAAAAGGAGCCACTAACCATTTGGCTGAGGTAATTACTGCTGCCTGAGAAAAATATATGATCTTGTGGGGCTTTGAGGGGCAAGGCTATGCTGCCAAGACATAGCCACCTATGGTCTAGAAAATAACAGCTAGTCCTCAAAAAAAGGGATAGTCTTAAAAAGGTCAGGCCTTAATTATTCCAAACCCCACAGGGTTCTAGAAATAAGAAACAGTGAAAGCCATTCATTTCCTCTATCCACCATGGCACATCTTACAGGAATGGCCCAAATTAGTAGATCCAATCATGTAACATGGACAGGCAACCTGTTTCCATTTTATAAAATCCCTCCTGCTGAGGAGAAGCTGGGCACAGCTTTGTGGCAGCTCATTCCCTACATCTGGATCAGTAACGGTCTGTCAGACTCCTTTGTTCTTCTTGAAAAGCAGGTGTTTGTTTGTCTGTATCTATTTAAGCTGCCACGAGCATTTGTTAATCCAAGTTGGTAGGAATGTTAGTTTCTTGTTCTGAAAATGTTGGTGTATTTCAAGAGCAATTACTTTAAAAATTCAACTCCATGCTCTGATGATTTTCTTTTCCATTCTAGGGAACCAACAATCCTATATTTTTAAGCAGTATTGCCTTCTTCCAAGACTCTCTTATCAATCAGATGACACAAATCAAACTATCCGTGTATGACGTCAAAGACAGATCTCAGGGAACAGTTAAGTAATACGTGGTTCAAAGCATTTTCTTCCCCTTTTAAAGTTCTGTAATCATTTCAGTGAGAGGTGAACATGAGATTGACTTCACTTCTGGCTCGCATATTAACTGATGGCTAAATGGCTTTGTCTTTGGGAATTCCTTTCCGAGCACTCCTGTTGGGCTCCAGCAGCGAGGGTCAGAGGTATTGTGGGCAGGCCATTGGGAGCAGAGGCAGAGCAGGCGGACTCAGGCTGTCTTTCCCTCTTCCTCAGATGTATTTACTGGGCTCTGGGACATTCATTGTCAAGGATCTGCTCCAAGACAGGCATCATCGGTTGCATTTAACACTAAGGTTGGTATTTAATTATGTTCCTTTGAAAGGGTCTGGAGTTATGAGGTGCAGTGATTGATGGGGAAGGGCCCATTTCCTGCCTGCTCCCTGAGGCTGGTCTTAGCAGGGAGTGGTTGTTCACTGAAGTGAACGCGAACCTCAGCCTATCGGGGGGCCTTTTGGGGGTGAGTGTGTGTGGCCTCTGTAGGGAAAATGAGCACAGCTGGCTCAGACCTGAAGGAAGACCTAGGCTCGGACCTAATAAACTAAATGTATTTGTATAGTATCTGCCTCCTGCCCAAAAGAATGTCACCTCCCAGAGAGGGATTTTTGTCTGTTCTGCTTCATTGGGGTATCCGAAGCACATAGTAGTGCCTGGGGCTCAGTAAATATTTGTGAGTGGACCCCCCCAACTGTGTCCCTGGAAGGAAGATGAAAGATGTCAAGATAGCAAACCTTCCCAAATTCATTTTAGGGGCAACTTCCACCCAAACCCTGACTGGTATTCTTGTTTTCAAAATAATGTGGGAAAACATCCAAAAGCAAAGAAACTTTTGAGAAAGAGGGTAAATTCCCTGCTGGATGGTGCGGTATTCTGCAGCCTGGTGACAGGAATGCTGCAGGCACTGGACGGGATAGAGCCCTGCAGGAGCCCTTGGTGTGAATGAGAACCTGAGGCCCAGAGCCTGACTCAGGGTAGAGGAGGCCTTGGGGAAAACGGGAGGAGTCGCGGCGGGGAAAGGGCTCTTCGAGGAAGATATCCAGGTGTATCATATGCCAGAAGTAATCCTGGTTGGATTAGAGTTACATGTAAGAATTGGGTATCATTCTTTTTAAAAGAAGCTAAAGATGACTATTGGGATAGTGTGGGAAAAAGGACTTTTCCAGGCGTGAGAACAATGAGAGAAAGTCACAAAGGAAGTGGGCAGTAGCAGTGACCACATGAAAATTAGAACTGGCCAAATCAGGCATCTTAAATAAAAAGCCTGGGGCTTCCCTGGAGAAGTCAGAGGGGCCAGGGAGCCACAGCTCTCCTGAGGGACCTCAGGGTAAAGCTGACCGCGGCTGCCCTGGCATCGGCTGTGTCGTGTCAGGATCCAGAGGCTTTGGGAAGTCCTGGGTGACCTCAGCTGACTTGGGATGCTGGCCTAGGCCTTGGGGCAAATAAAAGCTTGAGGGCGGGTGGGAAGGAGCAGAAAGGGGGCAGGTGCAGAAGAAGGTACTGTCCAGTCCTGATTCTGAGATGCGGGGCAGGGGTCATCTTGGGGGTGCAAGCACTGGCCCCTCCCCTCGACTTCACCGGGCATGCTCACACGTCTCCATGGAGCTTTGTCCCTTCCTCTGCGCCCCCCTGGCTCCCTGTCTGCTGCCCCTGGAGTCTGGGCATGCAGTGAACGCTGCCTGACTGACCAGCTGGCCAGGTCCTGGCACAGCCCAGGCCCCTCGGTGATCCGGGGTGGCTGAGCTTTAAACACAAAATGAAGCACAGTCAGTGTCACCACTTCCCAAAATGCTTTGTTTGATGCAGGTCTGCAGAGAGTGACCGTGTGGGTAACATCACTGTCATCGGCTGGCAGATGGAGGAGAAGTCAGACCAGCGGCCTCCAGTGACCCGGTCTCTGGACACTGTCAATGGGAGGGTGAGCTCACCCCTTCCTCCCCTCCATGAGTACACACTTCTTTATAAATGACTTCTGGTTTTTTCGGGGTCTCCCCTCATATTTATTGTAGTGTTGATGGTGGGCATTAATCCTAAGAGTCCTTCTATGACGTCTGCAGGCCACCACTTCTCCTGAGTGCTGTGCACTCATCTGAGTCTCATGATTTTCTTGTGCTTTTCTATCCATGTCACTAGATGGTCCTGCCTGTTGATGAGAGCTTGACCGAAGCATTGGGAATACGATCCAAATATGCTTCGTTGCGAAAAGATACTTTACTGAAATCGGGTAAACAGCTTCCTCCATTGGCACTCGTGCCACTCTCAAGAGTGTCCACTTGGGCCCATAGTCACCCTTCCCAACCCACCTGTTGTGATTGTCACGACCACGGACTCTGATGATCTCTTGTGGGCTGTGTTCTTTTTGCCAGGGTAGAAACAGTTGGTACTCCTGGGAAGGGACTTGCTCCTTCACCTACTTTCTTGTTTTGCAGTGGGTTTGGTGACTGCCAGCCTCACTGTCCCAGCCCTTACACTTGGGAATTAGTTACATATTCTAGGACAAGAAGATTGCATGTCTTAGGGAAAGAGCATTCAGGCTCAGTCACGTGGTGGGTTTTTGGTTTAAATGTTTAATTCCCTTGAGAAGACTAGTAAGAAGACTGTGGGCGTCAGCACCATGGAGGGCCTGGGAGGAGGGCCCGGCACAGGTCTTCAGCCTGCTCACACACAGCCTCTGTCTCCCCCACCCCATCGCACCTCAGTGTTTGGTGGGGCCATCTGTCGCATGTACCGGTTCCCCACCACTGATGGCAACCACCTGCGGATCCTGGAGCAGATGGCGGAGAGTGTGCTCTCCTTGCACGTGCCCCGGCAGTTCGTGAAGCTGCTGCTGGAAGAAGATGCGGCCAGGTGAGGCCAAGTGGAGAGGCTGACCACCCACCATACCCATTTCATGTGTCCTTTTCCTTCTGGAAAGCTCTTAAATGTGTATGATATGGACAGATCACTGGCACCCAACAGGCCAGAGGGCAAACCAAGCCTCTGCCACTTGCCTGCTCTGTGGCTGGGACTTCCAAAGGCCTCAGTTTGCTCATCTGTATGCTGGGATTCCTTGCAAGGACCTCACAGGGTAATGTGCCTAGAGCACCAGATGTGTGCCCAGCACTTATTACCTGCTCTCTTCCCTCTTCTGTTCACCTTTCATGTGGCCACAGAAAGTTAAAAATAGCTGGCCGTTCTTTGGTTAGGGCTGCCTGGATCAGCAGTTTCCTTGGACAGAGCCACAGCATATGGGCTCCAAAAGGTTAAGTAGGACCCATTGGCACATCCTTCCAGCTCAGGGTGGATGTCATTGGTCCCAAAGCAGGGAGAAGCCCGTGAGGGGGTCCAGGCCCTGCAAGCTCTGTCTCCCTTATGCAGTCATTACTGCTCCATGTCATAAAATGATGTTAATTGCAAACAATATGATAGAAGCATGAAAGAAGATAATACAGCTAGAACCTGACTGTTTTAATACAGCACTTTTGTTTTAAATTTTTATCTTGAAAATATTCAGACTGAAAGAAAAATGGCAAGAAATGCAGAAAGCTGCTTTCTCTGTATTTGTACATATTTTATATGTATTTTAATTTTTAGATTTTTTCTTTTAGCTTTTTTTATTTTCACATACATAGCTACTGAACCTTCTCTTCTTACTGTTTTTAGTTATGGCATAATCTCCTATTATTTGTACTAGATATGTACATATATGTACTGTAACTTAATTTTTTTAAATGCAGATTGATTTTATTTTTTTAAATGTCAAAATAACATTATAAAATATTAAAAGATTTAAATCCATTGTAAAGTCTTAGCTATTAAAACAACATGACACCAGCACAGAAATAATCGAGTAGATCAATGAAATAAAGTGAGCGTTTTAGAAATAAACATATATATCTGTCTAACAATATAATATATGATTAAATTGATATTTCCAATCAATGGGGAAAATAACACTTATTCAACAAATAAGGTGCATGGACCACTATTACTTGAAATACATTTATTTCAAAACTGTTCCAAAAACAGTTATAGAGCCCTATTTCACACATTATACAAAAAAAATATTCAGGTGACTTAAAAATCAATATGTAAGGAGTTTTAGGAGAAAATACGCAATAATATTTTTCTTACCCTGAGGTAACATATTCAAACCCAGAAGCTATAAAGTAAAATATTGACAATATGACTATATTAAACATTTAAGACTATACAGTAATATACATATAAAAAAAGTTAAAGGACAAGTAATAGAATAGGAAAGTATTTGCAACACATCTATAAAAGGGTTAATAGTTTTTTATTTTAGGGAAAAAAATTCTACATTTATTCAAAAATGGATAAAGAATACCAAAAAGTCATTTAAAGCTTTTTAAAAACAATAGAAAGAGGCAAGAAATATACAAAAACAGGTTTAGTTTCTACAAATAATAAAGGAACAATTAAAATACATCATTGTCACAATCAGAGTAATAAGTATTAAAAATATTGGTAATATCAAGTATTGATGACTGTAAAAGGAGCTGGGTATTCATAGACTCTTTTTCTTCATCTTCTTAAAGCAGCTCTTTTAGCATATCTTGCAGTGCAGGTTTGGTGGAGGTGTGTTCTTTTAGCTGTCTTTTGTCTGGGAAACTCCTTCTTTTGCCTTCCATTTTAATTGAGAACCTTGCTGGGTAGAACAGTCTTGGTTGCATGCCTTTGCTTTTCATTACTAGGAAGATTTCTTGCCATTCCCTTCTGGCTTGTAGTGTGTCTGTTGAGAAGTCAGCTGCTAGCTGTACCTTGGCTCCCTTATACATTACTACCTCTTTCTCCCTTCCTTTAGGAGTTTGTCTTTGAAATTTGCCATTTTAATGATGATGTGTCTTGGAGTCAGCCTCATTGGGTTCCTCTTGAATGAGACCCTCTGTGCTTCCTGGACTTGTGTGACTTTTTCTCTCCTCCAATTAGGAAAGTTTTCCCTCATTCCTTTTTAAAACAGGTTTTCTATCCCTTCCTCCTCCTCTTCGTCTTCTGGTATCCCTGTTATATGGATACTATTATGTTTCAGGATGTCCTGCATTTCCCTAAATGCCTCTTCATTGTTTTTGAGTCTTTTTTTATTTTCTTGTTCTTTCTGGGAGCTTTTTTCTACCTTATTCTTCAGCTTGCTGATTTGTTCCTCTGCTTCATTGAGCCTGCTTTTGATTCCTTCTACTGTGTTCTTCAATTCAGGAATTGCATTCTTCATTTCCTTTTGTCTCTTATTGATGGTTTCTATGTCCTTTTTCATGATGATATAGTTTACAGTAAGTTCCTTGTAGTTTCCCTGTAGTTTTTTTGTAATTCTCTCTGAGCTCATTGAGCTTCTTTAGAACCATTGTTTTGAACTCAATATCTGATAGTTCCCTTGCCTCTATTTCATTTAGTTCTCTTTGTGGGGATTCCTCCTTTCCCTTCGACTGGGAGGTGTTTCTTTGTCTTCCTATTATTTGTGAGACTCTTCTTTTTTGCTTCTGCTTCCTAAATTGATCTGTCTTGATTTCCCGACTTTATGGTGTGAACTTCTATGGTAGGAGACCACTGTGTTTTCTCTCTGGATCTGCTTCTGATGATGTCAGATGTTGACCCCATCTGACCTTAGGCAGTCTCTTCAAGACTTCGAGGAATCTGCTGTCTGTGGCTGTCTCCTTCAGCTGTTTATCTAGTCATTCTGCACTTAGCAGACTGGCTTAGACACCACAGGACTGGGCAGAGTCCCTCCTGGGGGTGGGGTTATTGGATCCTCTCATGCTGCTGCCACTCAGAGGAGTGGTCTGCATGAGTCAGATGGCTGCTGCCATATGGGGGAGGAGTCAGCACCGGGATCCCACCAGCTATTCTCTCGTTCTCTCCCTAAAGCCTCTGTCTCCAGTCTGTCCTCAAGTGTCTCTAGACCACTCTGCACCCCCTTTAGCCAGGGATCTATTATCTGTGGCTGCCACCCTGTACTCAGCTGTCAGGCTTTAGCACTAGGGCTGAGTTCCTTCTGTGGGCAGGGTTATTGTGTCCTCTCATGCTGTTGCCACTCAGGGGTCTGGTCTGCCTGAGTAAGATGGCTAATGCTGTATGGGGAATGAGTCAGCACTGGGATCCTGCGGGCTCCTTTCTCAGTTCTCTCCCCAAAACCTCCTTCCCCAATGTCTCCTCAGGTGTCTCCAGCCCACTCTGTCCCCACCTTTGCTGGAGGCCAGGAGAAGTGATGTAAAAATTTATGCATTGGCCCTTTAAATGACTCTTTGCATCTCTAGCCGCCCATCTCTGGTAGAGAGTAACCCTGCTGCTTTTAATAGCTGGCTGTTATCTGTGTCCTTTTTCAGCTCTCATGCTATAGGCTGGAGGTCCCTGCTTAATGGTTTAGACCCTGCTCTTCTCACGGGGATCCAACTGACAGTTTCAATATCCTTCTGGTGCTGCCGCCCATGGGTGCCCCGCCCTCCCTTCTCGAGTCTCTACTGCACTCCTTACCAGTCCGGTTGTGCTAAAGCTGATTCTTCTGTCCAAGGTTACAAGGCTCCTCTCTCACTATTGTTCAGTTGTTTGTTCCAGGAGATTTCTCCAAAGTTTAGTTGTAATGCCAGACTTCCATTCACTTCTCCACTATTTTGATTCTCTCTGTACTGTAACTTTAAAGGCCTTGTTCATTTAATAAGCCTTTTGTTTTCAAGGGTTGTGTTGTTAGGCAATATGCTCAGTGCAGAGGCTTCTTGATGAGTGAGTCAGACCACGGGAGACAGTCCCTAACAGAGAACTGGGGCTACACATGGAGCCCCAGGTGCATCATCAGGAAGTAAGAGGGGCTGTGAGAGGAGGATGGTCCAAGCAGGCCTCTGTGAGACAGTGACATTAAACTGACACCAGAAACATAAGAAAGAGCCACACAAAGCACAGGCAGACATCTAGAGAGAGGGGCCACCCTGGCAAGGTAGTGGGGTTCTTGCATACCTGAGCCAATCTCAAGTGTGTGAGGAGCCTCAGTGTGTGAGGAGCCCAGTCTCCCACAACCCCACAGCCTGGCCTGCACTGGGTGTTCTTTTACATTAATTTTGCCTATTCAATAATTAAATAGTACAACTTTATTTAATATCAGTCAATTTAGTAGATTCCTAAAAACTTTTATAAAATTAGTTTTTTTCTCTCAAAGGGAAGTTTGCATAGAATAAAAAGCCAAATGGTGCCAAAGGCTTTAACATAAAGTCTTGGGGCCTCAACTTCCTGATCCCAGAAACAACCACTTTCATCCATTTTAGTGTTGACTGCTGCATTTCTAAATAGATGTGTAGAGTACTTATCAGTTTTGGGGATTAGCTACTGATTTTCAATGAAATGATGATTTTTGGTCTTTTATACTTTCCTGCTCCCCAGTTTCCTGAAATTATTATCCTTTTTTTCCAAAAAAATCCATCTTGTGTTTTGTTATTCTGATTATGTAGCTATTATTTACTGCTGAGCTAAGAAGTTTATATTTCAGTACTTATATAGCTTTTGCTTTTTTATCTGGAGGTAACAGATCATAGCAGTTGCTTATTTACTCCAACTGCCACGTGTTATTCTCTTCTGCCCAGACCCAGGCGGGCTGCAGCTCAAGCCTTCACCTGTGTGGTTTATGATATGAGCCAGCGTGTTGGGGCCATGGTGGAGCTGCTCTCCTCTCCACTCCTCCACTTAGTTTGCCCTGAACATTTGACTAAATCTCTATGAAAAGCTCCCCTGTGCACTTGCCATGTGGTCTACCTTTCATGCAGCCCTTCCTTCTGGACGATCTGTCATGCACCGTGCTGGCCACATAGCCTGGGCCTTCCCTGGCATTGGCGATACTTCCACGTACACTTTGTTCTCTGAGGTGGCGTGGACTCCTGTGCCTCTCCAGGGAAGTGAGCCAGCTCTACAGCTGGTGTGTGTGTCCTGCTTGCAGAGTGTGTGAACTGGAGGAGTTGGGAGAGCTGTCCCCTTGCTGGGAGAGCCTCCGGCGCCAGATCGTCACTCAGTACCAGACCATCATCCTCACGTACCAGGAGAACCTGACTGACCTCCATCAGTACAAAGGTGGGTACCAGGTATCGTCTTCACTTCCACACGCACACGCTCCATTTTCCCACCTGGAAATCTGGAACCCAAAATCACTCAAATATTCTCACTGACAGGCACTCGAGTGGGTTTTTAAAAAAAGATTCTCATGTAGGTGTGAATTCTTTAATATTTAGATTTTTCAGATCTTACTTAAAAAAACAAAATCTGTGAATTACATTGAAAATTCCAAGGTGTCATGTGCCAAACCAACCACTGTGGGATGAAATTTAGGAGAGACAAAATTATAGGCTGTTTGTTCATGTTATTTCTTCATCTAGGTCTAATACCAGTGAGCTGCCCAACAGGATGTAGGCTGTTTGTCATTAAACAAAGCAGTTTTCTAGATTTCCCAGTTTAAACATTCAATGAGTGGTACTTGTGTTGAACATATAAATTGAGTGGAACTCTCCATTTTAAAGCTCAAAAGGGAGAATGAAGTATAAACACCTCACCTTTTCTTGAAAGATGCCATTTGATTTTCAAAACACTCTCATGGAAGATTTAGAAGACTATTCTTATTTCCTTTTTATTCCAAATTGAATGATTTTTTTTTTTTTTTTTTTTTTGCTTTTCGTTACTTTATTCTCTATCTTTAGATTCTTCCCTCCTTCTCCTCTTCATTATGAAATTTTAGGGTTGAAATAAAACCATAAGGCCTTAATGTACTTTTGACACAGACTGTATAGATATGTTCATGAACTTGGCTGAGGAAAAGCCAAGTACAGGAGTGATGACAAGGTGATGGTGCCCTGGGTTTACTTTTGAACCCAAAGAACAGATCTAAGTGTACTTCTAAGAGAAATGGCGGCATTTGTCTGAAAGAATTGAGTCCTACCCATGTTGGATGCCTGTTACCTGGGAAAGTCTGATACCCACACAGCCTTGAGTTTCCTAGAGTAGAGCTTTTCAAATGTTGCTGAATCATATAACCAGAGAGCCTTGTTAATGGCAGATATGGAATTCTGCAGTTCTAACAGGCTCCTGGGCTACATGTATCTAGTGAACAACCTCTTGTGACAAAATGCAGAACAGACAGTGGTTGGTCTATATTTTGTATACTGGCAAAGTAAATTCGCCTTCCTTCACTAGCTGCAATGTTTATTTCTTCTACCCTTCTGATTGTCAGTATAATTTGTAATCCCTTTCTTTTCTAGGCATGGAGTTCCTCACTTAGTTATGGATTTTGACCATAGAAATAAGATTGTGGATATTTGTTACAAAACATCATCCAGCCTCCTTAGCTACCCAAGCATGTAGAAGGGAATATGTTTAAGTTTGTGTTCCAGAGGCACGTAATTAATGCTCTCTAGCATCTGTTTATCTTGATAGAGCTGGGGGGGAAGAGCAGACCTTTCCCGCATTTTTCAGAATCCAGACGTGTTGCTTTAGTCACACCTCTCAGTTCAGAGCTGATTTTGTGGGTAGGCAGGCATCACTCTGAGATGGCTTCTCCCTGGCTCCATTTGCCACGTAAGCACCCAGAACCAGCCTCTGGGTCGGCAAGCTGCCCCCGCTTCGGTGTTTCACCCAGCCACTCTCTGGAAATGAAATGTACACATAGGCAACTCAGAATTGTGTAGGCCACGACCAACACATACCTGCCTTTTGAACAGCATCCCCAAAATATCCCTTTTCTACTTGCCATTCTTGAATGCAGGATACATGTTGATAATCTTTGTTTTCTAATATTCTTTTTCTTAGGTCCCTCATTTAAAGCAAGCAGTTTGAAAGCAGATAAAAAGTTGGAATTTGTTCCCACAAACTTGCACATACAAAGGATGAGAGTTCAAGATGATGGAGGATCAGGTAATTCTTTTTCTGTCCCTCTTATTGAATCACATTTCACTTCTGTTCCCCCTGTGTACTTGGTCCGTGTGTTGCCCCACATCTGGCCCGGCATTGCCTGTGTGTCCTGCTGGGCAGCTCAGATGAAAGACACACCATAGGACCTTTGTAGTCTTCATTAAAGAGCACAAACTCCTTCCTCTTGTTTCTCCTCCATCCAGCTTCCTTTGTGTTTCTATGGCAGAAAGTTACCCGTTAGTCATCCTTCTGAAAGAGGGATGCAGGCTGAGTGTTGCCTCCAGCCCCATGTGGCTCCACCCTGGGACGTGTAGGGGCCCTTGGACAGCCCAGGCTGTGGGACTAAGGGAAGCACAGGTTGCTTGGGCCTGGGTGGAGGGTCAGGACCCAGAGCTGTGTGCACATCCCTGTAGCTGGCTTGTCCACAGGCCCAAGCCCAGAGTAACGGAGGAGAGCTTTCTGTCATTCAGATCAGAGCTACGACATCGTCACCATTGGGGCGCCAGCAGCACACTGCCAAGGTTTTAAGTCAGGAGGCCTCCGCAAAAAGCTGCACAAATTTGAAGAGACCAAAAAACAGTAAGTTCTTGGAGGTGTTCATGGTCCTTGTACAGCTGTCTGATGCTTCCAAGGTTAAAAAAATAAAATCAGAATATGAACACAGAATCATCTAGCTGTTCAGTCTGCTTTTGCGTGGTGAGAGAGGCTGCCTCATGGCCCCTGTGCTGCTCTGTGTGTGTGCGCGACTGAGCTGGGTAGGTGAGGAGGCCACCTGGTCAGTAGTCCCACTCCGCAAATTGGAATCCAGCTTTAAAGGGATGCTTTTGGTGGCTGCCCTGTGCACACTGTTAGCTTAGCTGTCCTTGAGAGTCCCTGGTCAGTTAGTTGAACGTCCCAAAGTGTGCAGTGCAGCCTGGGGGAGACTGCTGTGGATAAACATTCCCAGTTTTAAAAAGATTTGAAGGGATGCCTCTACCATGCTGAGCCGGGTGCTGTCAGGCAGCCAGCCGGTGGGTGGGGAAGGGCGCTGCAGAGCGCACAGTGAGGTGCAGCTGGAGGCACGGAGGCCTGGTGCTTCAGTGCTTTGGGGAGAGGAGCAAAGGAAGAACCAGCCTCAGTGTGGGGCTGTGCCCTGGTGACCAGGGGTGCAGGGCTGATAGCTCCAGGCCTGGAGTGATCAGCGCTGTGCTTGGGAACAAGCTCCCAGGGGGTGCTGTGGAGCATAGAGCAGTGATGATGGGGAGAGAGCTGTAACTCCAGGCTGGTGAGTTGGACATGTGGGAGATGATCTTCCAGAATGTCACCCATCAAGATTTAAATAGATCAAAGGATGTGAGTGTAAGAAGTGGAGGTGGTGAGTGTAAATGGTCTTGTGAAATAGAAAATCCTTGGACCGTGAAATCGAAGATGAAGGTCTCAGGGTTGGGGAGGATGATTATGATATGAGCATGTTTTTAGGCTGAAAGGAAAGGTGGAAGCAAATGAGGTTGAGGTAGATACAGGAGAACATGGATGGAGCAGGTTCTGGAGAAGATGAAAAGAAGCAAGGCCAGGCCGTTAAGGGATATGAGAAGTTGATGTTGCAGAGAGATTGTGGAGGTAGGAAGGAGCAGGCTGAAGGTTTGATGGAACAACCTCTGCAGAATGTGGAGTTGAAAGTTCACACTTATCACTGGGAATGGAACAGTTTGAGGGAAGGTGAAGCAAACGCCTAGGGAATGTCCAGGGAATCCCACAAGGTCATCAGGGGGAGGTGCTAGAGCCAAGGTGCTTGCCTGGCTCTGCACTGCCGTGGCTGGGAGTCAGGACATGGCTGGAGCAAACTGACCTTGGACTGGATCATGGGTGGATGAAAGGTCAAGGGCAGTGGTCGGTCAGTGGACTGAGGGGGTCAGGGATGCAGCTAGGAGTGTCACTGGCCATGGAACAGAGGCCAGAGAAGGGACAGGGGGGCAGAAGAGAGTGTTCTGTGAGAAGTCACCATTCAGATGTGTGCACAGGTTGCCCTGAGCCCAGGAAGTCCTGGAGACAGGAGAAAGAGGAACAAGAAAGGGCCTAGTTAGAAAGGGAAGTTTCAGCTTTGGGTGGGGGAACGTTCTCTGGCTGCCCACTTAGCCTGCTCCACCTTGATTCATCCCCACCAAGGGCTCTTTCCTGCTCAGACAAGCCAGGTGGCCACACCTGCCTGAGGACTCACTGACTTGGGTGTTTCTCTGGACGTTGTGGCAGCTCTGAGGCTTCCCGCCCCCAACACAAGTCTGCACAGCCAGCAGAGATCGTGTGTCTGTCACGCCATTGCATGTGGCTGTGTGGAGTGTGAGCGTGCGCTTAGGGGTGGCGTGGGGGCCCTGGAGGAAAAAGCCAGTCAAGAGGGGTGCCCCCTGGCTGCCCTTGTCAGGAAGCCAGCTTGCTGATGCCCGATTGCTCTATGGGTTAACCTAAGAATTTTTTTAACCCCAAAATGCCTTTGTGGTATTTTTCAAATATGTGACATGAATTTTTATTTAATTTTCTACTAATGTCATAAAACCCCTGGTAGAAATGGTGTTCATCACTAGAACTTTCCTTTCCGTGCAGCTGTAACTGGCCCACCTGTGGGATGTCATCTGGGGTGTAAGCACGGGCCCTGGCATTGCTGTAATAAATAAGCACATGGGACTCATAAGTTAATAGTCCTTCAAAAAGCAAATTCAAATATTTTGACAAAAGATAACGGCTTTTTAATTTTTTGTTTTGCATTTGGTGTTTGCTAACAGATGCTAATATTTCATTTTGGTTCTTTTCTTTAGCAGTTTTGAGGAGTGTTGGTGAGTTTTCTGTCTGTGGAGAGAGCGTCTGTCTGGGTCTTGCTCTCATGCAGAGAAAGCCTGTGCTGTCCCCTCCCCTGAGAGGTGCTTTGCCCTCGGTGCCCTGTGGGCTCCTCGTTAAAGCCTCGTAAACTGTAAACCATTCTCCTTCCAACTGCAATGTTCTTTGATAATGAATAGCCAGTCTCCAGTCTACTGCTTTGTCTTTACAATCTGGCAGCCCTTTGTTGCTGTGCTCACTCTGAGCGCAGGCCTGGTGCTGTGAGAGCCCAGGCTGGCAAGTCCCAAGGGCTGGGATTTCAGGTCCACCCATGGGTGTGCTGGGAATCTCTTTCAGGCTCTTTTATAAGAATCTCAGGCGTTTTCAGTCTCTACTTCACCATCACCTCCTGTGACAATGAAGCCAGTTTACATTTTCATGATAGTTAATAGTTTATTCATATTTTTAAGTGTTACTGTTGTCAATTTTACCAAGAATTACAATAACCAAGTGACTTTTTCCACCGAAGAGTAGATGGCAGCCAGAAACCATTGTGTCTGCTGCCTGGGGGTCCCACTGCTGCCGCAGGACCCCCAGGCATGCCCAGTATGCTTGCCCTAGCCAGAATGGGGGCTTTGCAGTGACTTCTTTAGGTGACAGGCCCCAGAAGTACCTTCAGCCCTTTGGAATTGCTGCCCTCCTGGAGCTGCTGAGGCTCGAGCTGTGGCTGGGCCCTGCCTGAGACGTCAGGCTCTGCTGGGGACATCTGGCAGTAGGCAGTCCTGAGGAACGCCCCTCCCCAGCCCGAGGCCTCTTCAGCTTTCCCCATTTTTAGGACTAGGCAGTTGGACACACATGCCCATATAGTTACGATCACCCAGAACAGCAGCTCTCTGAAATCTACTCGTATCCTTCCTGTGCAGAAGGTCCAGATTACTGTTATTAGGACATGAACTGTAAGAACAGGGTGAGTGGGCATGATGCTTTTCTTGGGTGTGGGGGAGGGCATGTGTTTGTTGAAGTATACATAGCCATGCACATACACACATGCATGTCCGCATGCAGCACGCATTACATGTGTGCTCTAAATATCAGGACCTGGGAGGAATAAATGCTTTTTTAATTCTATTTTGAGATTGTATTTTTAAGACCGAATTGTCTTAAATGGAAGCTATTCATTGGGAAGAGTGATTGCAGATTGGAAAGGTGTCGTTTGCACATGGAGCTGTGGTTGACTCTTGTCAGACCACACAGGCTTGAGCACAGTCTACTGCATGGGCTGCTGGCAATCCGTCATTTTTATTGTGGTGTGTGGGCTTGTGTGTGGTTTCTTTCTGGGTCGCTTTGGGTTTTGCTTTTTGCATGTTCAACCCTTGTTTCATCCAGGGAAGGGGCAGGGCAGTTTGTTGGTGATTTGCCTTTGGGTTACCCTGGAAAGAGCCCATTGAGGGAGGTTCTCAGCCCTGCCAAAATCAGCCCCATCTCCAGGGAAAGTGATGGAGAATCCTGCTCTCCACCTTTTTTCTCTTCCCCCAAACTCAAAGGGCAACTGAGGGAACCAGTCAGGGCCCTTCATTCCACAAAGCATGAGACACCTGCTCCAGCCAGAACCCATGACTTCAAACTGTGGGAGAGACCTCTGCGTTCGCACCTTCCAACTCCCCCTCCCTGCTCTCTGCTTCCACACATGGCCTGAAAAATCAATTTATAACATTGGATTGATTTGGGATCTTAGCTGAGAGACATGCAATTTATGATCTCCATCCAGAAGGGCCAAATATGCCAGCCAGATGCAACCCGGGACACTGATCTGGCTCTCTAGAGTCTGGTTGTTATTTGTGCCACGCAATGGCTGGACTGTAGCATTGATCTCAGATCCCAAGATACACACACTGCTTGGTGGCCAGGAGGCGGGGAAGGAGAAAGAAGCAGGTTTCCAAAGCTCCCAGGTTTGACAAGAGCCAGGTTTGAGGCATCCAGGCCCGACCACTGGCTTGGTATGTCTCTACCTCCTCACACGATGGGATGTTATTTTTTCAAAGTAGGGAAGTCCTGGAGTGAGGGGAGGGAAGGAAGCCCAGCTTTCTGAGGATTTGCTGGGGTCAGACACAGGAGGGAGGTGTGCACAGGAGGTTTGAAGAGCTGTGGATGTGTGCACGGGAGGCCAAAAGGAAAAACCGAGGATCTTTTGGCAAAGTCCAGCACCCACGAAAGTCTTCTCCACTGTGATAAACTGACCCATTCTGGCATTAGCAGACCCCCATGTCTCCACTTTTAGCCCTGCTTAGAATTTGACAGGTGAGGTTCTTAGGTGAAAGACTGTGAACATTTGGGTAATTTCTGGGTTTAATATCTACACACCAGGCCCTGGCTGGATAGCTCTCAGTTGGTTAGAGTGTCATCCTGATACGCCAAGATTGTGGGTTTGATCTCTAGTCAGGGCACATGCAAGAAGCAACCAGTGAATACATAAAAGAGTGGAACAATAAATCCATTGTGGTTTTTTTTTTTCCTCTTTCTCTCTCTCTGTCCCCCTTCCTCTCTCTAAAATCAATCAGTAAAAAAAGAAAATACCTGCACACAAGGTACACATGCATGGTATGAATACAGATACAAATAGAAGACTTAACTGTATGTTAATACTTCAAGCTTTTATCACACAGACAGAAAAGATCTCTTGAGATTTACTTTTGTGCATCAACAGCTACCCAGCCCCGGAAAATGTTGCTGAGTAATAGTGCTTTATTTTGTGTTGGTTGTGGGCGAGGGTTGGGAGGGTATTGCCAGCTTCATTGATTCAAGAGAACCCCTTAGGCTCTGTTCTAATCCTTTTCAGTACATCATCCAGCTGCCAGTCCATAGTCTACATACCACAGGACATCATCAGAGCCAAAGAGATTATTGCCCAGATCAATACCCTGAAAACCCAAGTGAGTTACTACGCAGAGCGGCTCTCGAGGGCAGCCAAGGACAGATCTGCCACTGGCCTCGAAAGGACACTTGCCATCTTGGCAGACAAGGTAGAGGGGCTTTCCTGCTGCTGTGGGTCAGGGCACCCTTGGGTTCCTGGCATAGTATGCCTAGAGCCATTCACACAGAGGGTGACATTGGGATGATCTTGAAGATCTAGCTTCACATCCAGTTCCCAGAAGGTCCAGAAGGGGGGTTGGTGATTTGCCCGTGGTCACAGACCTGGATGGGGGAGGTCGAGGACAGAGCCTAGGGCTGTGATGGCAGCTGCTGCTTCATGCAGAGGTGTCGCCCAGCAAGTGCAAGGGGGTCACATAAGACTGGGCCAGTTCCATAGCTTTCTTAGTAACCACCCACTCAGAATTTTGGCCATGATTCTGTTGTGCTTGGAATTTAAAAAAAAGGAAAGTGAGTTATTATACAGATACAACATAAGAACAATATAATTTTATTGGCTTGGCTTATATATAGTCAGTAAACCAGCCTTTAGTTAATGGTAACTTGATCCTGATTTAAAATATATAAATACACACCCAGACCAGGAGACATGGGTACCTCAGATCCTTTGGAAGGGTGATGCTTTTTCAAATTACTCATCTCTCTGTCACTCACACCCCGCCACACACAGATTCTGATCACACCTCCCTAGTCACAACCACAGCGCTGGGGTGAGGTACTGTTCTTGAACAGAACGTGTTACATCCTTCGCATGTGTTCACCAGCAAAAAGATTGAGAGCTGGGGATTAGAGCCATTTGGAAAAGAAAGATGTGAGAAGTAACATGGTGAGCCACAGAGCCCCTGCTGCATACAGAATTCCCCAGAACCAGGATTGCTCTGCCAGGAAGCCTCTGCCCAGAGCCCAGGGCTCCAGGTAGTAGATGCAAAAAGACAAACCTTCAGTGACTGAACCAGAGTAAGGCTGACCCCTGGAATTAGAGGGGACAGACCCGACGTCCTTGAAGACTGGGACACTGGGCTCCCTTCAGGCCCGAGCTTGAGTGATATCATGCTCAGAGGCAGGCGGGGGTCAAGGACTGCCAGAGGTTTCTCAGCCTCCCCTCATCCTCCTCACGTTCTCTAGTCTTCTTAGTGGGAAATTCTGGCCGAGATTCAGCCAGGTCAGTCATGAGGCAGCTTTAAGCTTGGCATCCTGTGGGTGGGGAGCTCTTTAGTTGTATGTGCTATGGAGAGGGGCAGAGGGAGGAGTGCAGGGCTCAGGCCAGTTCCCAAGCTTTCAGAGAGGACAGGTCTTACAGCCCCTGGCCTGGGGCTCAGTGGCTTGGTGTGTGTGCGCCTGCAGACCCGGCAGCTGGTCACCGTGTGCGACTGCAAGCTGCTGGCCAACTCCATCCACGGGCTGAACGCGGCACGGCCTGACTACATTGCCTCCAAGGCCTCCCCGACCTCGACCGAGGAGGAGCAGGTGATGCTTAGGAATGACCAGGACACCCTCATGGCCAGGTGGACAGGCAGGAACAGCCGGTCTTCTCTGCAGGTGGATTGGCACGAGGAGGAGTGGGTGAGTCTGCTGCCCATGGCCCTCATTCTGCTGCTGAGCTAGGGTAGAAAATGTGAAACTTCCCACTAGTCTCCCCTCAGAGGGGCCTGAAGGGTTAGCGCCTTTGCAGACAAGCTCCAAGCCTCCTTCCAGATGGCTGCTGGGCCACCTGATTTAGGCGGGGAGATAGTATTTTACTACCTGTGTCCATCTGAGGATCAGGGCAGCTGTGGGCTGGCCATTCTCAGGCCTGGCTGTAAAGGGGTGATTTCCTCCCCGGGGTCCTCACCATGCTTCCCTGTTCCCTCCTTGTCTGGTCAGGTCAGCCCCTTGGGCTGTTTGTATATTTTCAAACGAGGGCACGCAGATACCAGGGCAGTAGGTGAGGATTTGGGAGATGCTGCCCTGACATCCCATCGCATTGTTGCTTCCTCATAGAGGTGTCCCCGAGAGCCAATCTGTGTCTCCTGAGGGAGGGGACCTACCACAGGACTTGTTTTGTCATTTTTTAGGACTGTGTAGAAACAGAGTTGTGAGGCACTGAATTACTCAGCAGCCAAGTGCTCCTTCAGCCCTGATGGCGCATCTGGGTTCCCCTGGCCCACCCTTACCTCCTCCCCACCACCCCATCTGAAGTGATCGGCTGTTTCTATTCTCTTCCTTCCAAAAGACATCTCAGTCCCCTCTGGTGCGATGTTGCAGGAGTTCAGCAGACAGGAGGAGGGATGACACTGGCCCACTGGGCCCTGTGACCCTTCTCTTAGCTCAGGAAGGTACTGGGAAGTCCTAACTGGCCTCCGTGACAGTTGCAAACATCTCCCAAATTTTAAAACCAGTGACCCCAGGACATTGATTCATCCTTTGAAAAACAAATACAACTTTAGTGGTATTTGGAGAATTACAAATCCTGTTGATGTTTCTAAATCTTGTGGTGCTTTAATAAGCCTGGTGGTTGGGGTGGAGGATCCATGGAGGATGGTTTGGTTCGTGTTCTGTTCTGTCTTTCCCATTGGAGAGCTGACCCAAATGAGCTCTCTGATTGGAAGGAGAAAGTATGGCTGAACGTTGACAAGAGCCTGGAATGCATCATTCAACGGGTGGACAAGCTGCTGCAGAAGGAGCGCCTGCATGGCGAGGGCTGCGAGGACGCCTTCCCCTGTGCGGGTGGCGGGGCCAGCAAGAAAGGTAACCGTGGCAGCCACGCCTACTGGATCAGACCAGAGGACCCCCTCTGTGACACCCACTCCTCGCCATGCCCCTCCACCACGTCTGCTGCATGCCATCCTCACCTGACCACATGTGCGTATCATCCACACTGCCCACCCGCTACTCCACCTCACGCTGCATCTGTCTGTCTGTGTCTGCCCCCATGTCCTCTACCCCCACGCAGACTGCAGGGAGGGCTGTTGGGCAGAGGCCATTGCAGCGCATGGGGCGGTGGGCAGTGAGGGCAGAGGCACCTGTAGGCTTCCTGCCCACAGAGCCCACGTGTGCACCTGCGTGTCTGGCAAAGGCAGGCTCTCAGGGCCCTCCTGGGTCACACTGCCACTGCAGGAAGGGCTGGGCTTCTGGGCTTTTCTGGTTTGTGCACCATCTGAGAACCTGAAGGAGGCCAAAAAGCACATGCCTTTCTGATGAGACTGTTGATTCCACGAGGAACAGGTAGAGTCAAAGACAAGGTGAATGATGCAGGGACAGAGATGGAGGACAGCTGTTAGCAGGCCCAGTGAGCGTGCCTGAAGGCCGGTTGTCATTGATTGGGCATCCTCACCCAGCAGAGGCATGTTGACTTGGGTTATGTTGGTAACTCAGTCTGGTGGTGGCACCCACTTTTGTGCCTCTGGGGGCCAAGTTGGGTTCCTCTGTTGTTACTGCCTCTCAGGTGGGGCTCTCAGTGGATGGTAGAACATTGGCACAAAGCAGCAACTTCAGGAAGAGACATCTGTCTGCGGAGACAGAGCATAACCAGATGCTCAGCTCCTCTTACGGCCTTAAGACTGGTGACAGGGTTCCTTGGTCCTTAATGCTCAGGGCCTCCCATCTTTTCCTGCAATAGCTGGAGGGGTACTTGGCTGCACACTGAGCTTCTGTTCCCTCTTTGCTCTTCTTTGGGATATTTAGCCATAGGCAGTAAGGCCAGATGTGCCATGGTTGGGCTTCCTACAGCGAGGACTTTTATTTTGTTGAACTGGGCAACTTTTATTCAAGACAGGATCATGCATCTTGATTTAGAACCTCTAGATAAGTCCTTCTCCATTTGTAAGGTGCCGGTCACCTTCTTAATCTGCCTGCAGTCTGTCCCCAGGCACTGTTTCCCTTGAGCCTCTGTCTCAGCAGTGTTCATTGTCCTCCACTCTTCCATTTGTCAGGGTTATAGTTCAATTCCCCAAGCCTGTGATTGGTTCATGGAGCTATTTTGTCTCTATTCGTATTCTCATTTTTTTAATGTAAATTGTGTTTCTTTGAAAAGTTCTTAGAAGTTCATTGCTCATTTCTCTTTAACATTGTCTTGCTTGTACTTTAAAATTTTTCTGCAGATATAAAAAATAATTTGTTGGATTTTTTTAAAATGCAGGAGATAGTTTATTTAATCAGATAGACCGTTATATCCGTAACTCAAATGTCATTTTTCTCTAGGTACATTCTGTGTTGTTCAAATACAGACATATTTAAATGCAGTTTTAAAGTTATTTAAATGAGCACTTAATGACTTGTAATATTTAGGGTCTGATGTGTAATTGTGTGTGCCCTGCCAGCGAGCTGTGTTGTGACGATGGTAATGTGAAGCATGTATTGAGAGAGTCTCACTCTGCTGATCAGTACTCACAGAAATACATGAAACCTTATGCCACTGAGTTAACTGCACACAGTCCTTGCGCACTGCCAGGACTCTGTTCAGACCTCAGCATGAGCAGGAGGAGCAGAAAAGACCAGACTGTGAGCCATGGATTTTACTCAGCCCCTTGTTCTCAAGGGCCAGAGCTGGGCCTTGTCAGACCATGCCCCATTTCTGGAGCAGGTGTTTGGCCTAATGAGCAGGTTGTGTTCACGCCTGCATATTCATTCCATACAAACAACTCCCTGCCTCTTTGAAAGGCATCATTACTTTCAAAGCTGGTGCTTTGTTCCAGTTCTCTGCCCATCCTGGGTCCTTGTTTTTCATCTTTTGCTAAGGAGCTGCCCAGCCACTCAGCTCACCCTCCCGCAGATGGGATCAAGAGCCCCGTCTGGCCGGGCTGGGGTCCCTCACGGCCGGGGCTTCTCCGGACCCGCTGGAGGCTTCATAAGCCCCTCTGTTCTCCCCGTCTTCTCCACAAGTGCCCTCACCCTTTTCACACCCTGCACCCTACTCCCCCACCCCCTGCCAGGATTTGTGGCTTCCATTACCTTCCATGCACACACTCTTCCTCTCCTCATCCCCAAGGAGTCATTCAACCAGGACCAGGTTTTTAAGCTGAAGTCTGTGGGTTGCACCCAGGTTTGTGTGTGCTGAGATTAGGAACAAAAATGAAAGTTCATAGTGGTCATGGAATCTCCAGGTACTCTGTTGACCCAAGACACAAGCAGCTGGTCCAGGAGTACCCCAGGGGACCGCTCCCTCTCCGCTTTGATTGAAAGATGAGTTTACCCAGCAGCTTTAACCCCAGTGCCTTCTCAAGAACAGTCCCAACCCAGCTGTCTGGGATTCCCATGGAAGATCATAAAAACAGGCTTTGAGACTCTTGCAAAAGGCAGAAGTCTGTATATTTTTTTTGAAGCCTGGGGTAATTCTCATTAGACATGTGTTTAAGAGTCACTGTTCTGCATTGCCACACCACAGGAGTCGCTCTCTGCTGGGCACATGAGCTCTAACAATGAGGGTGAAGTCTGCAGCTCACCGAGGCCTACAATTATGCTCTATTTTGGTCCCCTTTGCATGGAGAAGAAATCATCGCCAAAGATGACTGCAAGGGAAGGATCCCTTGCCACCCACTTTCGGACAGTTTCAGAGGTTGTGAAAGTCTCTGGTCCTGGCTATTCTTGGAGGTCTGAAACTACCTATTTCAATATTCTGAAGACATTCTTTGAACAAAAAAGTTTAGACAGCAAAATAAAATAAGCTTTTACTGCAAATGATCCCTTTTCAAACTTGTTTTCTTTTAGGTTAACCAGGAAATTTAGAATTTTTACAGGAAATGTAAAATTGAAATGAGTATTCCCAATGTGACTCAATGTAGGTGAAACCGAATTAAAATTGGTATTCCCTGAGGGACCTGCAGGGACATTCTAATTCTAGACCTCCCCCGATCATAAAAGTTTTATATTTGGCTTAAATTTTAAAGAGTGGCATAGACGTTTCTGGTGTATTGTCTGCATCACGGGATCCTACCTTTGGATCTCAGCAGTCAGGCTGTAGCACAGGCCCCACTGGTCAGCAGGGCAGTGGGGACCTCCAGGGACTGGTCAGGCTCTCTCATTTCAAGTTTGCTTCCAGTGTTGTGAGCCAACACAGGGCTCCATCACGTGCAATGTGATGGATGTGGGCACTTCATCACATTATAATATACTAATGTGCTCACCCTGGAAGAGCATTGTATGTTGACATATTAGCAACATGAATGTGCATGCCTGTGAATCAAGCTATGTTTACTACCAAAGGGGCTCGGCTGCCTCGGAGCAGCCGGAGTGCACCTGTGTGAGTTTCTGGGGAAGAGGCAGGCCGGCCCCCACCTCTTCTCTGTCCAGTTTAGCCACCTTACTGCAAGCTGTTGAAGCAGTTGCTCTAAGCGTTGAGTTGCTGGTGCTTGAACTGTGTGCTGCTCCTTAATCATCCATGTTGCCCTCCGTTTCTGTGCAGATTGCAGCCCCCCTCCTGACGAGTCCAGCCCAGGTACGTGGTTTCTGCTCAAGGTGTCTGCAGATGTCTTTTGAATACACAGCATTTGTAGCTATGTTACCAGATTACCTTGTGTTCCCAGAGTTAGAAAATAGTTTTTGGAGTTTCTTCATTGTGAGACTTGCTTTTCTGAGTTTAGTGAGGGGCCAGCTGGGCTGGGGACTGTCGCCTGAAGCAGGCCTCCAGATGCATTTTTTTCCACTCACCCACCCTAAAGCCTTTCCGGATGAGTAAGTCCATCAGTGCATTGGGATTACTGAAGTGAGTGACATGATTTAGAGAGGGACACAATTGTAGAGGGTACTACCTCTGACTACACCTGAACTTAGGAGCATCACATAGAGGGAATGGTTGGACAATAGGTAGTGGCCCAAATGTTGACCTTCATGATCACACAGCACCCTCTTTTCTGAGTCTGGGTGCAGCTTTAGGAGTCAGGCATTGCTGTGGGCTTCCACTGGAGTTAGCACTGGAGATGGGGCTTTTGCTGCATTTGTATATAGAAATTAATGGTTGTGGCTCTAGTTCAGGGGTCGGCAAACCATGTCTCTGAGCGGAGTCCTGCCAGGCACCTGGTCTTGTAAATAATATTTCCCTGGAAACCAGTCATGCCTGTGTGTTCACATGTGGTCTCTGGCTGCTTTCGCAGGGCGGTGGCAAAGCCCAGGAGTTGCTGTGGAGACCTCATGGCCTTCAAAGCCTAAAATATTTACTCCCAAGCTCTTGACAGAGAAAGTGTGCCGACCTCTGCTCTAGGTCATACTGTTTCCCAGACGTGACTTGTGGTTTCCTCAGGGTGAGCATGAGGCCCCCAAATAATATGTTATTTTCTTATACTGTAAAAACAGTGGCATAATTAATTGCCTGATGACCACACATTTCTGATGGGATATAAATGTGAGGTAACAGGACACCAGCTTTGTATCTAGAGGGCAGCAGACAGGCAGTTGTGGGATTTACCGGGCTATTCCGGTCAGGTGTTGGTGAGGCCTCTTGGCTCACTCAGCACCGGGATTCCAGCTAAGCCCACCTGAGGGCGACTGCCAGCTGCACCCCCCAGAACCCCATTGATGTGAGTTCATCAGTGGGCTAATCTCATTAGGTTCATCATTCCCCACCCTCGATTTCCTTTTAGCCACTTTACAGTTTTTCTTTTCCCAAAAAGTCAGTGTGGGGTCTCCCACCCCAATCCTCTGCACCCTCAGGGCCATGTAAGTCTTGGTAGACACACAGGTAGTTACTTGGTCCCTTCTGTCCCATTGCCACTCCTGGCCCCACCCCCTCCTTCCCCTCATCTCTGTCTCTGTGCTTCCAGTCTTTAGCTTACTTCCATGGCTGGTCTGTGCCTTCTCGCTGGGCTCGTTCTCTTGGAACCTGAGGTGAAGTCCAGACCACACCTAACAGTCAGGACTAGGAAAGGGGTGGCAGCATCATGAACCTGCCCCCTAGAAGCTCAGGATTCTCTCCTCAACACAGCGTCCTGAAGTTTACAGAACTAATGAGGAGACTAGTGAGTTCCCATCCAGGCAGCACACAGACCATGCCTGGCTTGTAGGGCTCTCCTGGCTTGTATCAGCTGTGTCCTCTCCAGAAATGCTGGTAGCATGTCCACAGTTGATGTCAAATGGACTGAAGTGGTCCCCTGCCAGGAATTCCTTTGACTTTTCCTGAAGAACCTTATTGAATCTGGATTCTCTTTTTCTCCCTCTCTCTCCCACTCTCTCTCGCTTTCTCTCTCTCTCTCTCTCTCTCTCTCTCACACACACACACACACACACACACACACACACACACACACTTCTCTTCCCCTTTCTCTCTTAATCTCCTTCCCCTATTAATAAGGAAAAAAAATACAATAGTATGATCCATGGATTAGCTACCAGCCAGCAAATGTTACAGGTTAGCAACTAAATAAGGAGCTTGCCCCAAAGAGTGAATCGGCTTCATCACTAAGGACATTGTTAGTTGCTGCTATTTTCTTTCCTAGCAAGACTTTTCTAATGAAGGAAGCAGAGTATATAACCCCTTCACCAAATCTAACATCCCAGATGCCTTTAGTTAACTACAGGTCTTTAGTAGACATCTTGTCACTGTCCCTGAAATTCATTTTGTTTGGAAGTTTTAAATTTTAGTTTCTCCTCATATTGATCCAAAAGGTATTAACCCCCAACCCCTACTCTGAAGTAGCGTGACATCACAGAAATCCCAAGGAGTGTAGAGTCAGTCAGACTCATGTACAAGTGGCCAGTCTCCCTGTGTGTCTTCCTTAGCCTTGTTGGGCCTGTTTCCTTACCTGTGTCAGTGGCTGAAGTGAGAAAATGGTTAAAAAGTGAAGCGCTCAGCAGGCCGTGCGCAGATGGTGGCTCATGCTCATGTCTGAGCCCTTGCCTGGGCCTGTGGCTAACTCATCCCTGCCCAGGGCCACACGTCCTCTCCTCCAGGACAAACTCCTAGTACTTTCTAACCATTCTTTCTCTACTCCCAGCTGTGTGTGTGTGTGTGTGTGTGTGTGTCTGTGTGTGTGTGTGTGTGTTTAATGTAGGGAAACTGAGTCATTCTGTGGCTTTTTTTGAAGAAGTAGGCAAAGTCAAAAGCTGCTGTATGGAGAGGGCTTGCTTAGTCAGATAGGACCACTCCTATGTTTTGAGCATTTTCAGGTTAAAATGATCATAATTTTCATAGTAATTACATATGTATATGCACATGAAGTGGAAAAGAAAGTAAAATTGGCAACAGTTGCTCTAAGAGCATTTAGTTCTTTGTGAGTGGTCTTTATGACTACCTAGCTTTACCCAGACTATTTGGCTACTCAAACTTAATTGCCATTGGCCTTTGTTAATAGTTGCTGAATGTAATTGACATGCATTCAACAGAGTTCTTCAAAGAAACAAAAACATGGTCTCTGAGATTTTTAGAGGAAGAATGAGACTTGAATATTATTTAGTAGGAATCTCCCATTTTATCAAGGACCCACACAACTGAGAGGGTTGAGGGGCCTGCCCACGCCCCACCACTGCTCAGCGGCCCCCGGGGCCCAGCACTCACATTTTCCCCTCTGTGGGCCAGGGTTCTTTGTCATGATGATTTATTTGCTAAGACCTTTCTGCTATAGACTTTCTAAATTTAAGCCTGCTTTTTTCCATTACACATATAAACCCTTGTCCACATAGAGTGTGCAGACATACACAGTTAGGTCATTGCCAAATTTTGAATAGCTACGTGTACTACAAAAATCTATGTTCACCAAACACTGAATATAGTGAAGTCCTTCTGCAGGTTTTAAGAGGCATTTCTCTAAAATTTGCTTTTCAATGAAGCGCTAAACACACAGTCTGAGAGAGCAGATCCAGGCAACCCTTCTTGCTGTGTTTATCTGACAGAGCTTACCCTTCCTGCAGATGTGCTGCTCGTGCAGCCCCAGGGCCTTCCTGAGTGCGGTCACATTTGTGGGCATTCTGTGGCTGACACCTCATGCTCAGAGGCACAGGTTTCGCTCCACTGCCTCTGCCGTACTTGGTGTGGTGGGTGCACCCAGTGGCGATGACCAAATGACTATTTTTGGGTTTGGTGACCTGTTAAAAATATAACTGATGAGAGCATGTTTTCTCCCTTTTAAATGTCTTCTAAACAGGAAGGAAAAAAAGAGCCAAAGCCAAAAATACCTTTCACTCTGTTTTTCTCCCCTGAGGTTCTATTTTTACAAAGTTGTTTTGGTACAGGGTCAAAGCTTCCTTATATCCCTAAAAAAGAACCCAGGCTCGAAATAGATGGCAACTGGTCAGGAAGGTTGGGGTGGGAAGAGGGTGAGTGCAGAAGAAAGGGACGTTCTGGGACCTGAAAACACAGGGAAACATTGTGGAACAGTCTTTCTTCCAGACATGCAAAGGGGAATTTAGCCCAGTTGCACGAAGACTAGACAAAGATGGGGTTGTCCTTTGCTCTACAAGGACAGGGGTCTTCCTTAATACTTGCGTCAAGAGAAGCAAGACAGTAGGTCACTTTCCTGGGTGCCCTTATCTCTGAGTAGGAGACCTCCGGTGCTGTCAAAGGGGCTTGGCCTCTGTGGACAGAATAATTTATCAGTCATGACCTGCAGAATTTTTTTTTTCTCTTTTCTTCAACATGTTGAGTTCCCATAGGTTAGGGAGACCAGGCATGCATCAGAGTCCCAGAAATAACGTTTGAGTTTAATGAAAGGCTTCAGGCTGGAAGGTTAGAGACTGGATTGTTTCCAAGTAGAATTTGGTGCCATTTGGGGCCAGAGCCTGGGCCAGGCAGAGTTAGAAGATGCAGAAGGGGTGGGAGTGGGACAGCAGTGTGGGTTAGGGATGGGCACCTTGTTAGACTTCCAGAACCTCATTCTTCAATCTTCTTTCTCAAACACTGGCTTCCGCCCCCGCTCCCCGTGCTCAGGTGAATGGAGTGAGGCCCTTTACCCCCTGCTGACCACACTCACTGACTGCGTGGCTATGATGAGCGACAAGGCCAAAAAGGCGATGGTCTTCCTGCTCATGCAGGACAGCGCACCCACCATAGCCACCTACCTAAGCCTACAGCACCGCCGCGACGTGGTCTTCTGCCAAACCGTAAGTCCCAGCACCTCTGCCCCAGAAAAACAGGCACAGGAAGCAGTTCCCTCTCTCTGTACTTTGGAGAAACCACAGACGGCAGCGTGTTCTTCTCTGTTGCCTTTACATTTATTTAACATGGAGATCTAGATTTTAATACAGAGGGAAGAATCTACTCAGTCGTCTGTGTTTGGGCGTGGGTCTGATTCCACGCTGGCTTCTCCCTGCGAACGGGCTTTGGGAATGCACACACCTGTTCCTCCTGCCCCAAGGATGTGTTGGGGCTGCCCATGGCTCCGGCCTCTTTGCTGCCTTTTTTTTGCCCCCTACAAAGGAGTTTAGTGAGGAAGACATGGCTGTTTGCTGTCAGTGCAATCTGTTTTCTTGTTTATAAAACAGCAGGTGCTTAGTTCTGTAGCTGTGTACAATTCTGTTTCAGTGATTTCTGTTATCCTCAGGGAATGGAATAATTTAAATGAATGTCACAAGTTCCATAGATGCCAGTCATCAATCCAGGAAAGGGAATGGCCATAGAGGGTTGGGCTGGTTTTCTGCGTGTCCTCACCCATCCCCATGAGGCCTGTTTCGTCCCGTGGAAATCTCCCACTGAGGAGACAGGTCGAGTGACTGTGTCCTCTCTCACTTCTGTTCCTTATCGTGGTCACTCTAGGTTCCAGCCAGAGCTGGTATGGAACTGTGAGTATGTAGACCCTTTCACTGAGGGGAATTAATTTGGCTTCCAGAAGGTTCTAGCCCAGGAGTAAATGTAGGGAGGTAAGGTCAGAGGCTGAGCCAAAACCAAACTTACCTGTGGGAGTAACAGAGAAGCGGGCCTGGAGCATGGCACACCCTCCCTGGGGTCCCAGAGCCAGGCACTTCCCACCCCCATGCCCCACAGCACAGGGATCCTGCTGAAGCGCGACTGGAGTGAGGAAGCAGAGGAGCCGGGGCCAGGGCGACTAACATTGGGTGAGGAGGTGTCTGTTCCCACAGCTGACTGCCCTCATCTGTGGCTTCATCATCAAGCTGAGGAACTGCCTACATGATGACGGCTTCCTGCGGCAGCTCTACACCATCGGACTGCTCGCCCAGTTTGAGAGCCTGCTGAGCACCTATGGTGAGACCCCGGGGCCCTCACACCCTGCGCCTCTGCGATCCGGGGTTTCGTGCGTGTGTGGACACACGTGATCCTGTACTTTTCCTAAATATTTTTCTGATTAAACAAATAACTCATGCTGATTCAAATAAATCAAACATTACCAAAATATGTTAAAAGAACCAGATGCGAGTCCTGTATAATTACCCTAACCCGTTTGTTTTGTGGCTTTTGTTACGTATCTGGAGGATCTTCCTAGTTGAGGATGGATGATGATTCTTTAAGCTCCAACTTTCTGTTGGATGTTTGGGTCATATCTGAGTTCTGAAAACAGTGTTGGTATGTATCTCTACACATGGTCTGTGACCTTGTGGGCCCATTTCTGTAGCCACTGGATTATTAGAAGGAAAGTTGCTGTGTCAATGCATAGAAATATTGTTAAATTTCATAGTTATTTCCAAATTGCTCTGAAAAAGGCTCTTTCCTCCCTACCTTCATTTTTATTTATTCTGAGAATGTAAAAATAAATAATTTTTTAAAGTACTTTTAGAATTACCACCAGCTTCATTTTTAATGTGACTGTGGATTTCATACCAGCATTAAGTCAGGGAGAAGTGAGTAGCCCAGTGTAGAGGCTTAGAAGGGCACTTGCCCACACTCTCCCTACCTCTCATCACAGCCACACCTGATTGTGCCACCTTTCATTTGCACCCCACCCTGTGACCAGGCAGAGTCCATGCGGAAAGTGGCAGGTCCCCTCCATCTAACAGCCCCCTTCCCTCTTTTGCATCCAGGTGAGGAACTGGCCATGCTGGAGGACATGAGCCTTGGAATTATGGACTTGAGGAACGTGACCTTCAAAGTCACTCAGGCCACTTCCAGTGCATCGACTGACATGCTGCCTGTTATCACAGGAAATAGGTAGAAGTATTTTATTAAATTCCCAGAACTAGCAGTGTCTTAATTTATGTTTATTATCTGCTGTATACTGTTTTTTAAATTAATTTTTAATTTTTTAATTAGTTGACATACACTATTATATAGTTTCAGGTGTGCAACCTAGCAATTAGACATTATATAACTTACTAAGTGATCATCCCAATAAATCCCACACCCATCTGACGCCATACATAGTTATTAGACTATTATCGACTATATTCCCTATGCTGTACTTTACATCCCCAAGATTATTCTGTAACTACCAAATTTTGCTTCTTAATTCCTTCACCTTTTTCACCCATCCCGCCAACTCTCTTCCCATCTGGGAGCCATCAAAGTGTCCTTTCTACCAATGATCCTGTTTCTGTTCTGCTTGTTTGTTTATTTTGTTTTTCTAGATTCAGTTGTTGATAGATTACATTCATTGCCATTTTATTCACATTTTTAATCTTTTTTTCTTCTTCTTAAAGAAGGCCCTTTAACATTTCATATAATATTAGTTTGGTGGTGGTGAATTCCTTTAGCTTTTTCTTGTCTGAGAAGCTCTTATCTGTCCTTCAATTCTAAATGATAGCTTTGCTGGGTAGAGTATACTTGGTTGTAGACCCTTGCTTTTCATCATTTTGGATATTTCTTGCTAATTTATCCAGCCTGCAAAGTTTCTTTTGAGAAATTAGCTGATAGTCTTATGGGAGCTCCCTTGTATTTTTTACTTCATATATTCCAAATTGCTAATTTGATTCTCAGCTTCATCTATTCTATTTTTGATTCCCTGTAAACTAGTCTTCATTTTAGTCAGTGTATCCTTCATTTCTGACTGGTCCTTCTTTATGCTGTTGATGTTCTAAGTTCATTGTGCATCCTAATAACCAGTGTTTTAAACTCTGCATCCATCTAGTAGATGGCTTGTCCCCATTTTGTTTAGTTCTTTTTCTGGAGTTTTGTTCTGTTCTTTCATTTGGGACATGTTTCTTTGTATCCTCATTTTGGCATCCTCCCTGTGTTTGTTTCTATTTATTAAGTAGAGCTTCTATGTCTCCCAGGCTTGGTAGAATGGCCTTAATGTAGTAAGTGTTCTGTAGGGTCCAGTGGCACAGCCTCCCTCATCACCCAAGCTGGGCACTTGAGGTGCACCTACCATGTGGGCTGTGTACACCCTCCTCTTGTAGCTGAGTCTTGATTACTCTTGACACATCGATGGGAGGGATATACCTCCAGGCTGATCATCAGTGAGGAATGGCTGTGACTACTGAGTACCACCCTTTGACCACCATTGAGGATCAGCTGTGCAGGGGCCCGGTCCATAGAGCAGAACTTACTTCACTGGGGTTCTGGTGCCTGCTGAGTCTGCCCCTTGAATGTGTCACTTGTGGAGGTGGCTGGGTGGTTGGGAGGTGGCTTCGATGTGGTCTGGAGCATTCTGGGAGATGCAGGCCAAGGTCAACCACCACCTGCGTTCTCCCCAGGGCCAACCAACATGAGCTTCAAAGCGATATGCAGGTGGCTGTTATATTTGCTGGGCTTGGAGGTGCCCAGGCGAGGCCACACTGTGAACCAAGACCGGCTGCTGCTAATGCCAGGGCTGGGACCACTTGGTGAGAGGTACGGGGCATGCTGAGGCCAGATGCTGCTTGTTTGAGAGATTTTAGGAAAATATGAAGAATGAGCTGAGACAGGCCATTGGTATGGAAAAGCCACTGGAAGCAGCTTGGGTGGGCCTGAAAGTTGGGTGGGGCAGGGCTGCAGGAAATCACCAGGGCAGGGTTAACCATGTGAGCCAGGTTGATGGAGTCTCAGATATGACATCTGCAGGCTTGCTCTTTGGCGGAAGGGCTTAGAAAAGAAACACTGGCCTCTGCGCAAGCAGTTCTGTCTGGGAGAAAGCTGTCCCCCAAGCTCTTGCCTTGATGCCAGACAATTTAGTTCCTCCTCATATGTCTTTGGTGCCTTTCAAGCTGCTGCCCCAGTGCTGGTGCTTAGAGGGAGTGAGTTCGAGTAAGTCCATGTGGGGGCCCTTCAAGAGAAACTGCTGGGGCTCCAGCTGCCCTCTATCTCCCTCAGCCTAAATCTCCATTGGTTTTTTACAGCCAGAAGTCATGGAGACGTCACTTCCTGGCACTGGAACCCTCGGCTGGGGGGCCTGGTTGGGGCTGGGACCTCTTGCTCTTTACGGGGGACCTCCACAGCCAAGATATCCCTCACAATTTTTATTTAGCACATGTGGGTGTGGGACCAGCCCATTACATGTTTCTGCCCCTCTATTGTCTCTGAACAACAACAAAAAAATGGCGGATTTGTCTGCCTGTTGTTATACAAGCCAAACTTGTAAGGCAGATTCTGCTGTAAAAGGAAAGAGGTTTTATTCAGGTGCTGCATTATCTGTGAGAATGGCAAAATCCTGTCTCAAAGCTCATATCCTCTGCAAGACCAAGACAAAAGCCAGTGTCCAGAATTCCTGCTTCATTTTAAATTATCATCCTTTGGAGCCCACGGGTGACTGCTAAGTAGACATCCAGGTAGCTTAGCTTTTTCCCAGCTACAGTCTATTTCAGGCTTCCCCTGGAAGCTGCTTGTGGAGCTTGTGTGGCCATGGGCCACACAGTTGCCAGGGCCACAAGGTCATGTGAACGTACCAGCCAGTGTGTCACTAGCTGGGCAAGAGACTGAGAGAGAAGCTTCCTCCTGGAGGCCATGGGCCCCGTGGCTGCTAAGGCCATGGGGCCCGTGGAGAGAATAGGCTAGTACACCATCCAAGTTCAGGTCATGAGCCAGGATGCCAGAGAGCCAAAGAGAGTGAGATTTTGTTTACCTTGGACTATGTTAATTTGGGTGTGGGGGTGGACCAGGTGCTTTCACATGCTTTGGGTGGGTTCACATCCCAAACAATCCCTTCTTTCCCCAGGCTAGACTGGCCTCTTTGGTCCAGCACCACCCACATTGCTATTTTGCCTTCCATGGCGCACTGAATACCTTCCCCTAGTCCCACCCCGGTCTGGTACTGGGAGTAGGGGGAGGTCTTTTTCCTTGTTAGCCTTGCACACTCTCAGTGTAGGAACCTCCCCCTGCCACCATCTTGGTCGATGGGGAGACTTCCCTGAACTATCAACTCCACACCCCCAGCCCCTAGTCCCCGCATGCAGCGAGTTGCCCTCACTTGGAGCCCACTGACAGAGAGCACTGAACCATGGGCCTAAACAAAGGATCCCTGGAAACCCCACGCAGCCTCTCATGCAGCACCAAGGGCAGCCTCAGTGGGAGGGGTTGAGCACCTACAGCCAGTGGTGGGGTGTCTGCACTAGGGGTGGAGTGTTCGCAGGGCATGCACTCAGCTACTCGGGCTATGCAGCATTACACCGTGTGGAAGTGCTACCTGGCACTGCACTGCGAAACTCAGTGTCCTCACTACTACACTCGGCTGTTTGTACAGGTATTCTTTGACCAGCTGCATGCCCTCAGTACTCAAACCTTTGACCTCTGTCCCTGAGGAGTGTGGCTTGATGTGCAAGTGGCTCCCGGATCCCATTCCCACGTCTAGCTAGCTCTATCCCTTCAGCACCCTCTCGTGTTCCCTACCCTCAGCCTGCTCCCAGCACTGGTACAAGCCAGAGCCTCCTCGGTGGTCCAGGTAGGCTGTCTACCGGGAACACTGCGGCTGCTTCTTTAATTCCATAGTTGTAGGACTTCCTTTCAGCCAGACCTCAGGTGGTTTTGCATAATGGTTGTTCTGTAGTTTAGTTGTAATGATGTGGTTGTGGGAAGAGGTGAGTACCACATTTACCTTCACTGCCATCTTGACCGGAAGTCACTGCTGCACACTGTTCATTTTTGTTTTATTATTTCATTCAGTTGAAAGTGCTGATCACAGCCCTCTACATTAATTTCCTGCTTTAAAGGTCACACCCAGCAGTTTGGAAATCACTGAGCCAGATGGCCAGCCCGCACTCCATGTTGAGGAGAGCTGGTTTTCCTCTTCTTACACTCCTCCTCTCCCACCACCCCATCACAAGCCTAACCCCTCCTCGTCCTCTCTCCCGCGTCTTAGGGATGGGTTTAATGTGAGGATCCCTCTGCCGGGCCCCCTGTTTGACGCGTTGCCTCGGGAGATCCAGAGCGGCATGCTGCTTCGGGTGCAGCCCGTCCTCTTCAACGTGGGCATCAACGAGCAGCAGACGCTGGCGGAGAGGTGTGTGCTTGGCCCTCTCGGGGACTGAAGTAGCTGGGGTAGTTATGGAGATGATGTAGGAAGTGTACTTAGCCCTGTTCAGGCTCCGAGTGCTGGGTGGACTTTGTCATCCCTTCCTTCTTTGGCCAAGAGTCGTTAAGTGCAGCCATATGCGCTGCTCTGTCTTTGGTGCTGAGGACACAACGATGAGCCAGACATGGCTCATGTCCTCAAGAGACTTGGGCTGGTAGGAAAGAGATGTGGGTTCAAGGATGAAAATAAATGCAGGGAGTAGGGGCCCTAACAAGGTCTGAGAGGGTCTCTGAGGGCTTTTCGATATAGGGTGATTGCTGAAGTGGGTTTTGAAGAGTAAGTAGGAACTGATCAGATGGTAGGGGAAAGGAGAAACCTGGCATCCCAGGCCAAGAACCCTGAGCAAACACAGGCAGGGACAAGCTGCTTGGGCGCCAGAGGCCAGTCCCGGGCAGGCTGGGCAGTGGCGAGGCTAGACAGGCCTGAGTGCCAGGCTGAGAGCCATACCTAAAGGCTTATGCCTCATAAGCTCCCTCCAGGGTCACCTGCTAGGCAGCAGGGAGGAGTCCTTTGTGCAGGTGTGTGTGTGTGGGTGCTCATGCACTGAATGTGTGTTGCAGAGGAGGGGGGATTGGGTGGGTGTAACCTGCAATGACCTTTATCACTAGTACATGAAAATCTTTCTGACTTCACATTACATTCATATGCTGTGTGTACTTTAGAATAGAAAGCCTTTTTTCTGTTAAGGACATTTGATCTGCAGGATGATAGGCTATACTCCTACTGGGTTTTTAACCATAATGGATATTGACCCCTCGGTGTAGGGTCACCCCACTTAGCAAATGTGTTGTGACTGGTGGGAGATATGGAAGAACTGTTAGCAGGGCAGGACATGGTCAGGTTTACCTTTTAAGTCGAGTGTGCTTGCTGGCTGTGTGCTGAATGATGTTAGGGTGCAGCGTGCTGGGGAGGTTGTGGGAGAGTCCAGCCAGAGGCAGGTGGGAGCCCTGTGGGCGGTAAGCGATTTCAGCAGTGAAATTGAAGGTGGGTCTTAGTTGGGCAGGTGTGAGAGAGAGACAGTGATGAGAGTGACAGCCAGGTTTCTAGATTGGCAGTGGGAGTTGGGGGCACTGAGTTCAGGAGCCAGGAGCTCATGCTCTGGGCAGTTGGAGGAGCCCACTTCAGGGAGGGTGGGCGTGTCGGGGCCGGGCAGGGAGTACGTCTCAGGGAGGAGAACTGTGTCTCCTGCGAATGGCAGCTGCCATTCCTGATGACTGGGAGAGCAGCTTTAGGGAGGGCCGAGGCAGGGTCCCATCGCAGCGAGCAGAGGTGGCAGGTGGAGGAGGACGTGACGGCGGGGTGAGTGCAGGGCTTTTGCTTTGCTCCTGGGACACTCACTCCTCAGCTCATAAACAAGCTCAGCTGCATGCCCCAGGGCGACCCCTAAGGCAGCAGAAGCCTAGAGGAAAAGCCATATGGTCCTCAGAGGTGGACAGGCTGTAATGGACCCACAGGAAGGAGTCCTGCACTCTGAGCAAGGACGGGGGGCCATGAAGTGGCTGCTGCGCAGGGAGGGGGAGAGCTGGACTGCACATTCGGCCTTGGAGTCAGTGCAGACCCTGTGTGTTTTGGGGACCGCTTTGCACCTTCCTGGTGCTGGCTCTCCTCTGCCTCCCCCTTAGGCCTCTGGCACATCTTGACTGCCTGCGAAGTGGGCAGGGTAAACCTGTGTGGTGAGAAGAGCTAGAGTCTCCACACCATCCAGGAAGAAAAGCTGCCAGGTGTGGTCATTCAGCAGACAGAGTTCAGCAGAGCAGCTTCAGACCACGTGCAGGACTGTGTCCTTACTCCCCAGCTTCACCCCACTGCCGTCCCCTCTCCTAAGTACCTACAGGATGGGAGGATGTGGAGACTCCCAGCCACACACTGTCGGGGTTTCTGTGCAGGGCTGTGCTGCGCGAGGAGCTGGTACGGACTGAGTCCTCATAACCTCTTAGGCTCATCTGTAACCCATCGTGCATGGCCCCTGCTAATGAAATGGGTTTGAATTTGTCACCAACACAGTGGAGAACAGCCTTATGCTTGGGAGGAGGAAAGTGGCTCAGAATTTTACGTGCACAGTAAATGTTTGAGAGAATCGGTGTTCTTAACTTTGATGTATTATGATGATACCAGGAGAAAGCTACATTAACCAACTAACAGTGTCTCCTGTGACCTCCAAAGGTTTGGTGATACATCTTTACAAGAAGTTATCAATGTGGAGAGTTTGGTGCGATTAAATTCCTACTTTGAGCAGTTTAAGGAAGTTTTGCCTGAGGATTGTAAGTATTTCTTCATTCGTGGTAGGTTCCACCCATTGTCTTATGTCACATTGGGTGTTTTGAGTGCTTCCTGGCCTTCTGGGCTCTGCCTCCTTCCTTGCTCCCTGCCCCCCGAGGCAGCCCCCTTACCCACTCAGACTCTACCCTGTCAAGACCTCGCCCAGAAAACTGCCCTCGGCCTGCAGTCCTAAGGGGTCTCCTTTCTGGCCGGTCCTCTTCCCACCTGTATCACACAGGCTGCTGTCACACACTGTCTCAGTCACTGGCAGGCGTTGTGGTCAGGAAGAGAGAGTTCTGTGCCCTTTCGCATTTTGGGGGGTGGACCGTTTCCAGTGACGCGAGGCCCCAGGAGCTGTTAACGTGGTCTAGTGAGGAGGCCAAGGAGGGTGCCGCTACAGGAACGAAAGCTACCTGGGCGGGAGCCTCTCCGGGGCGGGGCCAGCAGCTCCAGACCCTGGCCCAGGAGGCTGGGGGAGTGGCAGCCGTGTAGCCTGTAGCCCCGCCAGAACTGCTGGTCTGTGGGGCCGAGCAGATGGAACCCACCCAGTGAACACCGCTCTGCCTGCTCCGTTCATCAGTGGGCAGGTGTTCACTAAATGGGGTGGTTGGGGTGCCAGGAATAAGCTATAGCTGATCTGGGGAAGTAAGATGGTCTCCTCCAGGAGGCTGAATTCTGCTTTGTCTCAAACTTGCCTCCTCTGGGCACCCACAGCCTTCATTACAGACCAAGCATATTTCAGTCTCTCTGTTTCTGCCCTGTTCTCTGACCAGCGTGGCACTGAGAGTATGAAATAATTAGCATAGGATCCTGTGTCTACCAGGGTGAGTTTTTATGGTGGACGCTACACGTGCAGCTAGATCCCAGAATTCCATGTATTTGGATTCGATCTGAAGATTTAGGCACCATGGCTGTTATCCTTAGCCCTGACCTCGAGACTCTGATGATCCCGGAGGCTGAACATCCTAGATTTATTAGGTGAGGTGGCAATATGACTGATCTTTAGTTTGAGGAGTCCCAGAAGGACTTGGAGATGTTGTGGCAGAGGGAGCTGTTAAAGAGGGTGGGAAGACACCTGCCCAGGCCACTCCAACTCTGCCTGCAGGAGGCTGCCCTTCCCACATGACCCAGCAATGGCCAAGCCCACCTAGTGGTTGACACTAGTGCCCAAAGCATCCTCCATCCCTGGGGAAGGTTGTGAAGACTAGATGGGTCCCCCTCACTCCTTCCTCACTCCCTCCTGCCCTTGATGGTTCAGTGTGCACCCTCCAGCCCCTTGGAAGAGCTGAAAGGGGATGAAGGGAGTGCCCTTTGCAGGTGGAACTGAAATGGCAATGAAGGTAATTAAGTGCTCACCATACTGGTAGCCAGGACCAGGGCCTAAACACCCCTGTTTTCTTGTTTAAATCACACTGAACTTCCAGCTTCAGCCAGAAACTCTTCATTTTGCCGTTCCTGAGCCTAGACGACTCACTGGGCTGCATTCCTGGGCGGGGCAGCAGCTCCCAGCTCTTCCTCTCTTCCAGGCTTACCTCGGTCTCGGAGCCAGACATGCCTGCCGGAGCTGCTGCGCTTCCTGGGCCAGAACGTCCACGCCAGGAAGAACAAGAACGTGGACATCCTCTGGCAAGCTGCTGAGGTGTGCATTACAGGGAGAAGGGGGTTATTGCTGCTCCTGCTGCCAGTAGTAGTAATAACAACAACAACAATAACAAATCCAGATCTGGGCCAGGAATGGAGAGAGGGCATTTCTCCATATAGACACAAGAGAAAGACACTGAGCATGTCCCAAAACTCTCGCGGATACTGAAAGTTACCTGTGAGTTCATGACTTTCAGCCTCCTGAATTCTTCTAAGCTTGACATAGAATCTGTCCCCTGGGGCATTTAATAACCAGGCTGATGGTTGTTGTCAGCCTTGGACCGCCTGCACAGTCAATACCAGCTAAACTCCCTGCCTCCTGCATCTTGGAATAGGTCCAAAGAGAGACTCTGGTGACCATTATAGTCCCTGTAAACATCGTTTATCATACGCTGCAGCTTGGATCTCCTCTTTGACCTGAGCACTTAACATTGCAAATATGTGGAGTTCCAGGTCCCTGCTCTGAGCCTGGTGTCACAGCAGTTTAATAGCTAGTTGTTCACTCACCCCTCACAGGGTGGGTTTAACTCATCTCCACAGCAGCACTGGGACCTGTTTGTCATGGGGACTCACAAGTGGCCCCAGATGGCATACCAGCTCCCTGCCTGGCCTGAGCAGAGGGGAAGGGTGGACACACACCCCTCTGTCCTGGAGAAGGAGTTGGCCCTGCACTCTCCACTGACAGTTGGATCACTGCCCTGGTTATAGAGCGCAGGGAGCAGTTAGGGGGACTGTCCCCCCACAGCTTCGTAGGCAAGAGTGGATGCAGAAACCTGTGCATACCTTGTTTGGGAACTGTGGTTCTGTTTTTTTCTCTTGCTACATGATAGAAGAACTATCACCACCCTGTCGGGTAGCTCAGTCAGTTGGAGCATTGTCCTGTACACCAAAAGTTTGCGGGTTTGATTCCCAATCAGGGCACATACCTAGGTTGTGGGTTCAGTCCCCAGTGGGGGCATGTACAGGAGACAGCCATTCAATGTTTCTCCCTCACATTGATGCTTCTCTCTCCCCTTCCCTCTCTCTCTCAAATCAGTAAACCTGTCCTTGAGTGAGGATAAAGAAAACAATCACCTGTAGCGATGATCAACCATCCCCTGTCACTAGGTCCAAAAAGTATTCCCTCCAGTCCATGTTTTTTGTCTCCATCAGAGGCTGCAACGGTACAGAAGCACAGATTCAGAGTTGGAAGGGTCTCAGGGACCCTTGGATAGGTCGGGTCTCAAATTGTCCACCTGGGATCCCCTGGGGAGGACAAGTGGGTGGTAGGGGCACCAGTGTCAAGCCACTCGGGTCTTGGGTCCCCCCATCTTTACTCGGACCGGGGCTGCCTCCTTCTCTGGATCTTATTTATTTTCATTTGTGTGCATGAGCAGGGGGTCCTTGGCTAAACAGTTGGAATATCATTAGTCAGGTCAAATCCCTCACTTCATGGAGGGCCCCCAGGGTGGCCCTCTGGCACCACAGACTCTCCCCTCTTGGGCAGAGATGCACGTTAGCCTCTGCCTTCGTTCTGGAGCCTCATGTGAGCTCTGGATGCTCTGTCTGTGAATGCTGTCGACCCAGCTTATGACAGGTCTGGGCCGTGAGCTCTGCAGCTTGTAGAATTTAGTGAGCGTGTCCATGGCCACCCTTGATCTGTCAGTCAGAGTTTTACATATCTGAATGAAATCATTGTTTACCTAGCTTAGGGTTTACTTAGGGTCTTTTTCTTTCTTTTAAAAATTTTTTTGTCCATTCTCAGAAGAAGCCCATCTTCCCGGTGGTCTTGGCGGAACTCGTTTGGGCCTCTTCCATTTTGTCTTTTCTTGGACACAGCGACCAGACCACACTGTGCTCTCTGCCTGGGGGCATCCCAGTGGTGGCCATAGGCTCTGGCTGTGCTGGCCTGAGAAGCAGGTGTGGTGCCATCCTCAGGGCGGGGCCGCAGTGTCTCTGAGATCTTTTGGGAGCGCAGCACGACACTGGAGCCCACCATTGTCCAGCCTGGATGGTTTCTCATTCATAGCAGTGTTCTCACAGTACCTGGTACAGGTCCGCAGGTCCTTATCTGAAGCTCTTGTGGCCAGATGGTTTGGAATTCAAAGGTGTCCTTATTTGAGAAGAGACATGGTATAATAGTTGGTGCACATACGTGTAACGTAGTGCATGTACGTGATTTAACATCCCAGAAGACTCTGGAAAACACTCTGGAATCAAACCCATTAACACTGCCTCACTGAAAAGTATGACTAGTTATACAAGAGGGATAAATAAAAATTATAAACAGGACTATACCAGCTCAGCCCTGGGTATGCTGCCAAATGAGGTTGCCACAAACTTACCCAAAGAATCTTTTGTTTTGGGCTTTTTGGATTTGGGGACTGTGTACCATGGACTGTACCCAGCAATGCAGATGGAGTGACCCCAAACATCCTTACCATGAGGCGAGGGGATGCCCTGAAGTGTCCCTTTCCTAGCCTCGACGTGGCGCACCACGTGAGCCCCTCATGTGTGAGGGGCAGGCACGCTGGTGCCTTGTCCTGTACCAGAGCCCGAGTGAGGTGGAGGATGAATGGCCTGCAAGGCCTGGTGGTCAGGAGGTGGCCACCATCTGTGTGGGACAGGAGAGTAGAGACCAGTGGGTCCGTTTTGAGCCTTCCAGAAAGGCCTAAGGACCTGACCAAGGCCTCGGTATTCTTTGAGCTGCTCTGACTTCCTTGAGTTAGTTTTTGCTGCCCTTCTACCCTTCCTCAGAGGGGTCAGCAGCAAAAGGCTGAATGTGACAAGATGATGGTGTCGTAGTTTGGAAGAGGATGACACCTCCGAAAGGGAGGGAGCCTGAACTGTGAAGGAGCATCCGCGCGGTGGGAGCAGGCACATGCCCCGCGGTGGCAACGGAGGCGGCCCCACGGCAGTGACTGTTCTCCATCACCAGCTCTGGCAGGACGTGAAGTTGGGGAGGAGGTGCAGAGGGTATGGCTGGGTCTGGGGTTGAGCTGGTACCTCATACCCTGCTGGGTCCTCCAGAGCCTATGTCCCGTGTGGAGTGAGTCTCCATTCTGCAGAGTCACCTTCTTAGCACAGCCTGTTCTCATTGGCAGATCTGTCGCCGCCTTAATGGGGTCCGGTTCACCAGCTGCAAGAGCGCCAAGGACCGCACGGCTATGTCGGTGACGCTGGAACAGTGCCTGATCCTGCAGCACGAGCATGGCATGGCCCCGCAGGTCTTCACCCAGGCCCTGGAATGCATGCGCAGGTGAGTCCGTGCCCCACCCGCCCGCTGCCACCTCCCCCGGCTCCCTGGCACAAGGCCCCTTGACTCCAGTGTCATGCTCTGGTTTGACTTTGGAAAATTCGCTAGTGTCTACAAAGTCAAACTATTGGCACTAGTTACATCAAATTGAGACAATGTTCTCTTTTAAGTCAAGGGGGAGAGAAGAGAGCTAGCAGTCTCTAGAGCAGAACTGCACCGAAACAGGTATACAGGGGCCAGCTTGGGTGTCAGGAGTGATACGGGGAGCACCTCGTGAAAGCCGTGTGGCACATGGCATCCCCCCAGCCACCAGCCTTGCTGTGGGTGTGACTTAGGGCCAGAGCTGTCTCAGCATGCGTCTGCTATTTACATCATTTGTATGTCTCCTTTCAAACTGGAGTGACAAAAGCGTGTCTGCAGGTTGCACTGGTCTGCTCTGCTTCTTCCCTAGCAGTCGACACAGTTTGCTTTTATGAGCAAAGTGTCAGATGCGTGTTCTGTGGCGATGGCAGCCACCCGCCAGCCTGTCCGTGGGCTGTGGCCACCTCACCCTAACAATGTTCTGATTCTGAGGCAGCAGGCGTGTTTGCAGAATGAAACCCAGGACTCAAAAGTGTCTACTGTTGACCGATGCCTTGTTTCAAGCACTGCCGGGGAGCACCCTACCGCACATACCAAAAGAAAGGATAAGAAACCTGGTTTTCCTGTCTCCTTCACTGTAGTCACCAATGCTGTCACAGTCTCGTTTGCAACGGTCACTCCTACTGAATGTTCTGTCATTTGTCCTCTCACCAAATTCTTTAAAGTGTTTGATTCTCTTATCCTTTCTGTATGTTTCTGCTGTTTGACCTTCTCACAGTAATGCACAAATGCCAGGCCTGAGCTCCTGCCTCTTGGTAATAGAGCATTTTATAGAAATGAAATTGTTCCGTCTCTGTTTTGTCTTTCTGAGTTCATCTAAACTTCTCTGTTTTGTCAGAACACACTTCCAGAAAGTTCACCGCCCTTCCTGCCCTTAGCCTCAGGGAAGCAGTGGAGGCTTAGAGACCCCTGCCCAGAGTGCCCTTGACTGAGGGGCCGTCCTCATGGAGTTCATGCCCTTCAGACTCGCTGTCCCTGGTGCTGTTAGTGGCAAGGCCAGGCTCCCAGTCACATCTGTGCCCTGTTACCTGAGAGGTGGTGGGAGGCACTGCCCTGGTGACATGCACACCTCAGCCGGCAAAGACACAGGAGACACGGAGGGGGGATGCCTCTGGTTGTCGGAGCAAATACTAGGATCAGGTCCCTCAGGAAAGCACAGGAAGCCTGAAACATCCGGTGGCGGCAAAAATGACAAAGCCGCAGTTTCCCTGCTTCAGGCACATGAGAACATGGGGTTCTGTGGAGAAAAATAGTAGTACTGGGAAAAATAGCAGGCAGCAGGAAGAGTAAGACCCAGTATGGGATGGACTGACACCATAAAAGAGGCCATAAGCATGAGTCTACAAGAGCTGAGCAGGGCTGCTGAGGACAGGACACTGTGGTATCAGCCATTCATGGGGCCACCAGGAGTTGGAGCTGACTCAGTGGCATGTGACACCCACCATTCAGGAGACCGGGCCCGGAGCCAGTTGTACAGCTGATATGTAGGCCTTTGTCCAGTCTTGGCTTCTGGTACAAATGCAGTGAAAACAAGAGTTCATCCTGACTGCACCTGAGCACAAAGGGCTCAGGAGACCAGGGAGAAAGTGGCCCCTCAGTGACACGCCCTGCCCCACCTGCCGCCGGTAGCTGTGTGGGGTGACAGGGGCAGTGCCCGCACGCACACAGATCGGTATTAAAGTTTACACGTACAAAGCACTTTTTACTTTTTATCATAGAATTAGTTGATACTCCTTGTAGGAAAATTAGAAAATGCAGGTTGTTCACACACACACACGCATACCCCCCTAATTCTCCATGTCCTACTATTAACAAGTAACAGTGCTGACATTTGATATATACTCTTTCATAGATACATACATACATACACATGAGTGTGAGTGTGGTTAATCAACACATTGCTTTGCCAGTCCCTGAATAAAATAGAAAATTAAACATACACAAGTACAAACACATGTGCAGTCCTGCTTACTGTTCTTAGCCTGCTTTTTTCATTTAACTGTCTCGTGAGCATTTTTCAGGTTAATAAACATAGACCTTACCATTTTTAACACAGTATAATGCATCCAATTGGTGGTTATTGACTATTTAAGATGTTCATGGTTTTGAGCACTTTAAATGGTGCAATGAGTATCCTTATGTGTTCTTCTAGCCACATTTTCCCCACTGATTTCTTAGGTTAAAAAAGTGTACACCTTTGTAAGGCTTTTAAATGAGATCGACAGGCTGTTGCCACTCTACCTGTGTCTCCCAGTGGCTGTCTGTTCATCCACCGCCTGGGTGTTACCACGCCTGTCACCGTTCTGAGCGCTCCTGACTCTGTACAGTCGGCTTTGTTTTCTTAGCTTATAGATGAGGCCCCCCCAGGTCCTGAGCAGGGAAGGGCCCTCCTCCCATGGGAACAGGCACCATTCCCTTGGTCTCTCCTCCTTCTCTAAAACCCCCACCCACTTCCAATGATGTTTGTCTGTCTAAAGTTTCTTATCTATGTTTTTCAGAATTTTCTAAATCTCTACAGTGAACATGTCTTACAATAATAAGTTGAAGAAGTTACTAAAAATGAAGCTTGATCCCATTTCACCTCTGCATGTCCCCAGAATCCTCATAGCACCATCCCAGGGTGTCTTATCCCCCGACCTTGTAGAGCATCTCAGTCTCTGGTCACATGCTTTTGCTTTAAGGCGACACTGTTACACCTGATTTCTGTGCTTTCTGGATTACCTTGTGCGGGGAAGACAGGTGTGCTCATCGACTACAAGCCCAAGGGGCTGGGTCACGAGCCCTAAAGAGGGAGCAGTAAATAGTGGTTATGCCCTTAAGTGAGGGAGTGCATTTTGGTTCTCGTGTTTTCTCACTTATATCTGACCGCAGGAGAGTAGGGCGTGCAGGCCAGCGTGCCGGTCGGTGAGGAGTGGGTGTAAGGGCCGAAGCCGATGCTCAGGCTGGCTTTCTCCTGGAGGCCCAGGGGAGGCAGTGGCAGTGCTATGCTAGCAAATGTTGAACAACTAACTCTCTCTCAAAAAAATCTCCGAAACCCCTGATCTGCAGCATTTGCCAATTTCTGCAGCATAAATACTCCCACTGAGGCCTATTTCAAGCTACCAGTGGGACACCGTGGGACATGGAATTGGGAAGAAATGTGTATACATGGCTCTTCCAAGCTGTCTGAGCTGCTCCAGTTCACTGCTGGTAGCCCCCTCTTCTCCCATCCAGTGGCTGAAACACTCAGAGTGGGCCTGCCTAAGGACTGCCTGCTCGGGAATGTGACAGTCAGCCAGTGCTCACAGCATGGAAAGTGTCACTGTCAGAGTAGCACCCCTACCAGGGCACGTCCAAGGCTTCCTGTTTCCTCTGGGAAAGCCTGGGAGGCTCGCTGGCCTCTCCCTCTCCCAGAGTGTCCTGGCATCTCTGTGTCACTATTGCCACCTTAATGACCATGCATAGAGGATGTGGTTCCGGAGTCCTACGTTTCTGGCTGCCATCTCACTTCAGGACATTTTTTCTGGAGCACCAAAAGTGGGGAAAATGCAAAGTTCCCAGTGGAGCTTGGTCGGATGCCATCCTTGGGGATAATAACTTGAAAAACTTGGAGCCACCAGTAGCTCATATCCTGCCACTGCTGGATCTGAAAGCCAAGGCGAGTCTGGTGAGGGCTCTGCCTTGGGTTGACACTTGAGGTAAAAGGTATTTGTTTGAAGAGTTCATCAAGAGGCAGCTTTGGCAAGCCCCTCCCCGTGCCCCCCTCCCCCCTCACCTCAGGCACCTGTGAGAAGGTCAAACTGCCCAATGGTTCTTCATGTTCAGCTTGCTGTTTGAGATCCATGTCTTTGCAGCATGTGAGCGCTTGGCAGGGCGGCATGACGTGCGCTGGGCAGCTGAGAGCGTGAACATGGAAAACCATTTAGTCAGCCTGTGTGTGTGTTTTCAGTAGACTACAGTATTTTTTTCTTATTTTCACTTCTCTTTCTCTTCTTTTTCCTTGTGACTGTGCTGGTTTTGTTTTGGTATTCCTTTCACACCCTTTTCTGCATCTCATCTTTTCTTTCTGTTGTGGCTTCATTCCATTTTTTTTTAACTTTATTTTTTGGTTCTCCTCTTTTTTCCATAATGTTGATAAAATCCATTGCATGTCTCTCTCTTTTTTTCTTTATTTCCTTTCCCTTTTTCTTTTCCTTTCTCCCAAACTTTTTCCTTTTCACAGCATTGGAACACGGGAGGTAGTCACCCAGAAGAACTTGAGCGGCCTGGTGCCCATCCGAGACTTAAGACTAGATCCCAGCCTCCTCTGTTCCATCCCTTTATTAGCTCTGAGCCCCAATTTACTGATTGTGTGGCTCTTTCTGAGCATAGCATACCTGGTGACCAAATTGCGTTGCAAATGAGTATCATTATGAAAAATTAATAATAAGTCACAAGAAAACAAAAGTGCCAGAATACACCTAACTGGACAGAAGGATTGTGTCAAAGCGTGGTTGCCAAGAAATATTTCATGCCTTACAGTTTGGCGTTTTGTTGTTCTGAACTATAAATACCTGCCAAATTATTTCACCAAGAGGACTTGCTTGTTTAAATTCTGTAGCTTTCAGTGCTTGTAACATGTTCTTACAGTGCCCTGTGACTGCATTGTTTAGCTGAATCACTTGTACCAAATCTCCTATTTTCTGATGTAAAGCTATTTATTACCTGTATATCACATGTGCCCTGTTTCCAAGAGAAAGGAATTCTGTCTGAAAGAATTTGTATATTTGATACTATTCTTTAAATGTACTGCTAACCTTTCCTTTCCTTTTGAAGAGAAATGAAAAGAAAATGATAGATGCTTTATTACTGGCTCAACTGTATAAGCCTATTTAATAGGACATTGACTTTCTGCTTTCATTTCAAAGCGTAGTCCCTTAAATTACAGTAGCAAACAGTTTGCAGAATCATAACATTTCCTTGCTCATGTTTATTATTTCCAGTATGAGGTGACACAGCTGTGACTACAATAGCATATTGTACCAAGTCAGGCACATAAGAGAACATATTGCATGTGACTTTAGATTTACTCTTTTATATCTTTAAGTATCATTAAGCTAATCACAGGAATTAATGCATATACTAACAAAAGGCAGTTAAAATTATATACATTTATTTTTCTTGAAATAGCATTTTTCATTTCAGACATTTAAAGACAACATCTTTAAATTTGGATTACATTCTAGACATCTTTTATCATCACAAATCAAATGTAGTTACTAATGAAAAAAAGAAGTCAAAGAACAGTGATCAAAAAAATGAGGCTTGCCTTTTAGGCAGTTGTGCCAGATGGAGCTGTGGGAGAGAAAGAGTTACTTTGGTTTCTGCTATTATCACTCTTAATTTTAACAAGGCACTGTCCATAATGTGGGATGATTTATAACCTTAACATTCACATTTGGCAGAAGGGTAGTTGAACGCCTATAAAAATAACAGAGTGAATTAGGAGGAAGATCCAGGGACCCTGTGTAAGAAATACTTGGTGGCCTCTCTTTCAGTTCAAATTGTGCTGTGATCCGTTTTTGACCTCCAGCTGGTTCCTCATACACTGTATTTTATGAATTTTTTTTTACCAGTCTAGAAAAGTTGGAGTGAATTTAGAAAAGCTGGCTTTTTCAAAAACTTTACATCCATGCATGCACACAAACTCAGTCTACCACAGAGTCTTGCCTCTACACTCTCTCCCTAAGACTTCCAGAACTTTCTCTGGGATTTTTCTGGCTTGGCCTCAGATCTGAGTCTGGGTTTTAGGAATTGCAGAAGCAGTTGGCAGTGAATGACGAGTGTCAGACTTAGACTTCAAATTCTAAAATGGAAGCTAGTCCTCCTCACACACCTGGGCACCCTTCTTTCCCAGACCCACCGGAGTACTGCAGGAGCCCTAGGGCAGGTGTCGCACCTGGGGAGAGTCCAGTCTCCTCACAGGTGCAGTGTGGCTGCACTGTCTTTTCTAGAATAAATGAGGTGAGTGTTCTGTGGCACAGCTCCTGACATCCTTCAGCAGAGAGCCCGTCCCCAAATGCCAGGGACTGGTGGCAGTAGACTGTAGAATGTGACACTGGCCACTAGGGGAGGTCCTGTCAGTCTGGGATTCTATGAGACGTATGTTGACCACTTGCTGTCCTCTAGATTGTGGTGCACATATCAACTAAGACTTGTTCAGTTTATTTGAAGGAGGTAAAGTAGAGTCCACGACATGCTCAGTTCCCACTCACAGCTCCCCGATGCCCTGAGGGGTGACATGTGCTGGTACTCACTCCAGGCCGGACAGAAGCCACGCACAGATGACTACTGACAGCATGGCCCCCTCTTCCCTGGGCCCATGTGTACATCTGTGACTCATCAGAGACTCGCTCAAGACCCACTGCACAGCAAAGGAAGGCCAGGCCAGCTAGGGAAGCCCCTGTTTGGGGGCGTGGGGCTCATGGACACTACAGCCTGCTCTTTGGCTATCATGGTGCAGCCAGGCCTTCCTGCTGTGTGTAGGTTTGGTGCTAGGTTGAGAGGATATGAAATTGAAGGGAAAGAGGATATGGTTCTTTGTTTTTCTCTTCAGGGGCCAGGTCAAAAGCCACCACGTTCTAACTCTGCAGTTGTAAGGCCAGCACGACAGTGGACACCAACAGCCTAGTGCCGTGGGTTGTTGGTCTTTGTCTTTGTTTTTGTTTTGGTAGACTATCAGAGAAAAAACTCAGTATGCCCACCTATTGTGCTGAATTTTAAGCTCACTAAGGCCTTTTACTCTAAATCAGGCTACATGTATATCTGGAATCTTTTCTGCTTTAGTGAGGAATAGGCAGGATGAAACAAAGAGGGGAAGATGATTCAAGAAAGGGGAGTCCCTGAGATTTGGTGATGGTTTTCAGGTGGCTTCTAAGCTGATGCTACTGCTGAGACCTGGTCACTCTACACATTCAGGGTCACTAAGACACCAATGCACCCGGATGGGTCCTAAAGTGGAAGAACCCACCAGAAAGGGAAAACCAGAACTATCCCTAAAACGAGTTGCCATTTGGGTCTCCATCCTAATTTTGTATTTTAAAAAAAAAAAAAAAAAGGCTGTCCTGAAAAAGAAATTATTATCGTATAATGTATTCAGCCAGTTAAACCAGTAATTACCTTCTTTAACATGTAAATAAAAGATATCAAAGTTCCCAAATTATTCTTTGCTCCTCAAAGCAGGTAGGCATTTATTTGTAATAGGTGGTTTTTGAGAAGTATATACATTTCTATATAAATGGAGAAGCCACATCTGAAATAGTCCGATAATGAGTTTCCAAAGATTAAATGAGACTAACTGTCCATAGAACCTAGAGCTTCTGCTTTAATTGGAATTATATTTTTATCTGATTATTGGATGTTAGACAAACATGATCGTTTACCCTAGGGGCTCCCTCCCGTATGGCCTAGGCGTTCAGCTCAGATGACATATTATCTTGCTGAGGGCTTGAGGCCCTGGTGACGAGGAAGCATATTTGAGTTACTAAGTTACTTAATAACAAGCAGGTGAATACTTTTCTGAAATACCCATGCTTATCTTTTGAATAAAACTGTTTCCCCAAAAATATTTTATATGTTCTTGAAAATGAGAATGTCATTTTCACTTCACTTGCCCCTGATATTTTTTTTTTAAATGCATGACATAATGGTGTTCATACAACTGGAAATATTCTAAATTTTACACCTCATAAAGGGTTTTTGTACTAAATTTGATAACTAGTTGATTTCATTGACAGTCTCAGAAAATATAAAAATACAGTTAGACTTTAGGAAGCCATTTATATTGAGTTGCTTTTGCCTGTTAATTTGATGTCTACACCAGAACACTTTCCAGAGTACTTCCCTGATGCTCTCATTTGGGAATGTGAGGCCCGCCTACCCCTCATCCTCCTGCTCTGCGCTTGCTTTGCACACTGGGTTGCCAAGACAGCCCCCCATCAAATACAGCTGGGGCGGTGCTGGTCCTGGGTTCTCTAGGGAAGTGCCCCTGTGGGCTCTTGCTGGCTTTGTAGCACTCTTCTGAAAGGTGACCACAGTGAGGGCAGTTCACCTGGAGAGGGTGGCTGGCTGCCCCCAGGGGACCTCAGTAGGGTCACCCCTTCACGACACCCCAGCCCTGATAACCCTGCAGACCCATCATGCATCACCTGGGACCACTGGATTGTTTTGCACCCACTTAGGAGACAGCCTGTTATTGCAGCCTTCTCAGCCACATGGCTTTGCTACATGTGAATTCTGCAAGGAAAATCAGCATTTTGAATTTGAGGTGATTAACAGCTCTAACATTGAAAGATGCAGCTCTTTAAAGACTTCGGTAAGAGTTGCACTACCTCGTTTTCCATTTAATTTGCTATGTAACAGAAGCTTTAAACCACTAGTTAGGATAGAACACTGAAATACCTAGAAATGAAATACATGAAACCATTAACTTTTTTTAAAAGTTTGCTTTCATTTAGATACAGCACTGCTTTCGCAAATGCAAAACACGCAATCCCATACACATGTCCATTGCTGTGCTTCTTAATTGCCTTGCTCAGAAACCCACCATCTTATGTGTGTATTGTTGGAAATAGTCTGGCACCCATTTAAATTAACCTTTTTTTTAATGCTATAAAAATAATCAGTTCATTCCATCTTAGTTTAAGTCTTTTCTTTTTTTTCCTTTTTTACTGCTGTCATTTCTTGTGCTTGTTTTTTCCCCAGTGAGGGTTGTCGAAGAGAAAATACAATGAAGAATGTTGGAAGTCGCAAATATGCATTTAATTCCCTGCAGCTGAAGGCTTTCCCCAAGCATTACAGGCCTCCCGAAGGGACTTACGGCAAGGTTGAAACTTGAACACACGGTGTCCTCTAATTAGCTGTTATATAACAAATGTGGGTACCCTCTAGTGTCATATATGAATTCTTCAAGAAGACCTGAAGGATTGGCTTTTACTTTTGTGTTTTAAAATACTTCACTAAAGAGTCTATGGAGCATGTTTTTTATTGAGTTGGAATCAATAGGAGGTAATGTTTGGCTCAATAGTGTGGGTAGTAACAACTGCCCATTTAAATAGCCTGCAGCCAGAACCACAGAGACGGCATCGATAGTCACCTCTAGGAATCAACTAGGCAGGTCTGAAATGCTAAAAGACTTTTTAGAATGTCCACTTAGGAAGCTGCTCACATATTTTTCTACTGAGTAACTCAAAATTGAGCATTGAATTACAATTTACTTTTTAAAATCTGAATGTAAAACAGTAAACCGTTGGATCCTGGACAGACCAGTAAGTATTACGTTAATCCAAGTTTTGGGGAAAGAAGCTAGCTCTGGCTCATGCAGCGAGAGCAGGTGGCTCCAATAAATTATGTCTGTGATGGCACAGGTGGAGCCAAAAGTTGAAGTAAAGGTTGAGAAATAGCCTGAAATAAGACTTTATTAGAAGATAACACCTACAAAGCCACTCACAATGGGGACCACTTCTGTCCCTTATGAGTTATAGAAGAGGGTGTCTGCTTGAGAACAGGAAGCCAGCTGTCTCCTGTTCTCTCATCTCCATGTCTAGTCCCACTGTGACCCAGGGTGCATGTCCCCTTCTCTTCTGGAGGCTGAGTTACAGCACTCCAGGACCTCACATGGGTATGGCTGATGCCTCTCACAGCAGTGGAGATTTATGCGTGTAGGTGGTGGAAGCCTAAATCTTTTGAGATCAGATATCCTTTTATGTGTTTCCCTATTTGTCTTCTTAAAGACAGTACAGTCATGTTTGACTATCTAATGAAAGTGTCTTTTAAGTTTGCAATAATTGTTACTATCCTTTTCTCATTCTGTTATGTAAGGTGACTATTGAGAAAGTGGAAATTAGCTCCTGAAGTGAGATTTTTGAAAGGGATTAATGGGCCATAAAACTTAGGGATTTCATAGAAAATGATGTCTGGTCATCTATTATAAGATGATGTCTTATCTGTATATAGCAGTTTTTTTCCTTAGTTTTTGTTTTATCAATTCTGTTTATTATGATGACTATGTTTATATGTTATTTAAAAGGCTATAAAAGGAATATATGTGGCACATTCATGATGCTAATCCTAATGATTGGTGCACCCTTAGGAAATTCCCGTGCCTACAACTCTGGGTATTATTCTTTGGGCTCCTTTAGAAATTCCACTTGGAAATGTAATAGCCTGGGAAGCTGAGGTACGGGCAGGACCCTCTGTGGCAGGGACACACAGAGTGAGCAGCTGGTAAGGGTGGAACTGGATGACCTTTCAGATCCCTCCTACTTGGAAATCAGTGCGCAGACAGCCTGATGTCTTCTGATGTCTGATGGAAGGAAAGTTTCCACTGGTTGAGTGTGAACTGGTGTGGAAGACATGTCAGTAAGGGACAGTTGGAGCTCACCACTCTGTCAAGTTGGGTTCCCTGGAGGGGGGCGGCAGAGAAACCTATGTCCACCAAACCCACTTCAGGGAGGGCAGCAGCTGGTGTCAGGTTCTCTTGTTGTGCCAATCCCTGAACAGACCCTTTCCAATATGGCTGATTAGCCTTTTACCTACCATTTAATTTGTAATTTTTCTAGTATCTTTTACATTTCCATCTTTTCTCATTTTGACATCACTACCTTTTAAAATATTCCCTTGTCTTTTTAAATTAAACGTCACCCATATTGTTTTCAGATTTTTTTTTTTTTGGTCTGAAGTGCATTCAATACCTGCATTTATCAAAAGGGAATATAGCAAACGTTGAGTTGGTTGTTAGCTATTTTCGCATGTGGCACCTTTGTGAATTATTTTCCCAATTTTGTCTTCATGTTATGGACCACCATGAAACTCTGACTTGGCTAATCATGTAGAAAATATTCAGGTTCCAGTATTCTATTTGAGCACTGCTACCAGGCTCCCATGTGGCAAGTCTCAAAGGGCCTCAGGCACTTCCCATGCTTGCCGAGCAAGGCCGTTGTCATGGTGGCCAGCAGCTCCTCCGGACATGCAGGGTCTACGAGTTTTCAGTTGCACAAGGCAGTCAGTCTTGCAGGTTACTATAAAATAGAGGTTCCACCCAGTGTTCCTTGTAAGGCCCCACTGAATAAGAAATGTTGAGACATACTGAAAGCCTGGGATGTGCTGTGGGTTCTGTCAAAGCACCTGCGGCACAGTTGCCTTTGGTTTCCTTTAAAATATACAAATATTGTATAATATAGTTTTGTCTCTACACAGTTGTACTTACCAAGCTTAGTGCACTAAAGTACTTTTATTTATTTGTTTTGGACAGTATTAATATATATATAAAAAAACATGTAGTTACCATTTTATATATTCTTAGCTCATTCTAAGCCATGTATGCTGTAAATGTGCTAGTCTTTAGAATGACAGATAATAAATAACTGACAAGAACATTAAACTTGGTCTTGCCTGATTCATTCTGTTGCATTAGGACGAGTTGTCTGGCCAGCATCTGACTGGATGATTATTAATGGGCATTGCATTGAATGCTTGGGTGTTTGTAAACATGGGACCAGGAGAGACTTGTTTTATGACCTTTTTTCACTTAATTTGAAATGAAGGGGCCTTGGGGTGTGGGATTAAGAGCATGGATGTCTACTTCAGACAGACCCAGGTCCCAGTCCTGTTGTCACTCCTTGGCTGGTGATTCTAAGCAAGTTGTTTGCTTTCTTTGAGGTTCTGCTTCCTCATGTGCAAAGAACGGACACAACAGTGCATTCTTCACAAGGCCATTATGAGGTGCCTCATCATTAAGTTTATGTTAGATATGGTTGTTACTGTCCCATGTCCATTAATATGGGTCACATCTTCTCTCTGGGTTTGCCTGGTCATCTGCCGTATGACTTGATAAAATGTTTCATTAATGGTTTGATTGTTATAACCAGGACTACATCTTGCACCCTTTCCTAGGCACGTGTGCACAGTGACGTCCCTTGGGTAAATTCCTGGCAGTAGAAATGTACAATTTAAAGAACAGTGTAAATGTTTTAAATTTTTTGAATTCTTCATACAGGCATAGACCTCAGAAATATTGCAGGTTTGGTTCCAGACCACCACAATAAAGTGATTGTCACAATAAAGTGAGCCACAAGAATTTTATGGTTTCCCAGTGCATAGAAATGTTTATACTATACTGTAGTCTATTTACATGTGCAATAGCATTATGTCTAAAAAAAATCAATGTACATACCTTAATCGAAAATTACTGCTAAAAAGTGTTAACCATCACCTGGGCCTTCAACGAGTTATCTTTTTGCTGGTGGAGGGTCTTGCCTTCAATTTGTAAAAACTCAGTATCTGCAAAGCCCAATAAAACAAGGTTTGCCTGTATCATTCCCAGAAAGATAGGCTTACCACCTGTAGTATGTGCCTCTTCCCTTTATTCTTACTGATGTTTAAAATGGCACCTTGTTTCAATTTTCTTATCTCTGATTACTATAAAAACTGAACATCTTTTATACTTGTATTTCTACTTTTGTGACTTCATTAGAGTGGTGGTCTTTTTTTTTTTAAGGATTGTTTTTAAATATACACGTTGCCACATTTTAAAATCTATTTGTTAGTTGTCTTTTGGTTTCATTTATGGTAGGGGTATGCAGTCAAATATACATCTTTTTCTTTTTGATGCTTGTTTTGAAAACAGGTCCTGGCTTCACCACTGAAGGTGACAGTCGGAGCACCCATCTTTGTCCATGAAATAGGCATGGCTCTGTGCCACCCCTCTCCATTCTGTGCTAGATTTGGCAAATGGGTAATAACTTTGTTTTATTCTCATTAGAGCTATTATCACCCAAGCTACGGCACAGAATCCGAGTGTCAGATCAGAATAGTCACACTTCAAATTCCCCCTTGGGCCCCATTTGTGCCTCAGCAATATCTTTGCTATGATTCCTTCCTGCACTAGGCTCCTGGTGGGCCTTTTTTGGCAGGTCTGCATTCAAATACACACCTTATGGTGCTATCGCTCTCGTAACAGACAGAAAGGAAAAAAAAATTAAAAAGCTGAGACAGGTTAGAGAAGATAAGACACTTGCTTATGTTCCCGCAGTACGGAGGAATGTATCTTCACTAGATAGATGGATGTAGAAACACAGGGCACTTCATCAGTTCCTCCTCCTTGCACTTGCCCTCCTTTGGCTTCTGTGGCTTCACTCTCCTGGTGCTCCTGCCTCTCACCATCCCTCCTCACTCTGATTTGCTTGTCGTTCTCCACGCACCACTACCGTTGTGGTGGTCTCCAGATCTCTGTCCATAACTTTCTTCTCACTTTGGTGATTTTCCTGAAGTTTTACCTATTCTTATGGGATAAATGACCACTTTTTTGCCAATGACTCCCCAATTTCTAGGTCAACTGAGACTCTCTAGGTCCATCTACACATCCAACCGCGTCCTAGTCATTCTACTTGAGTGTCCTCAACACAGCATGTCAACACCAAACTCCTCCCTCCCTCCAAGCAGGCTGAGTCTTCCTGACAAATGACGCCACCTTCCACCCTGGTGTTCCGTTAAAATTATTCCTGTTTCAGCACTAGACCATGATACTTTTCTCTGGTCTAGTGCTATAATCTGTTATAGCAGTACCCCTGCCCCAAATCAAAGGTTTCATATTCCATGGTTCAGTTACCCACAATCAACACATCACCGCAAGAAGGGTGAGTATAGTACAATAAGATTTTGAGAGAGACCACAGGCACATAACTTTTATTATAGTATATTGTAATAATTATCCCATTTTTGTTATTGTTAATCTCTTAGTTTGCCTACTTTATAAATGAAACTTTATCATAGGTATGTATGTATAGGGAAAAAACATAGTATATATAGAGTTCAGTACTATGCACACTTTTAGGCAACCAATGGGGGTCTTGAAACATTATCCCCCATAGATAAGGGGGACTACTGTATTCTAACATATCACAAGTAGCCAAATGCAACAAGCTCAAGGGAAAAGGAAAACTTAAGAGGAGAGTGTGGCAAATACCAGAAGAGTGGTCTTCTCAGGGGCAAGCAGAAAGGCCTCTGAGAAAAGTCAGGCATTATAAAGGGTCATCATTCAATGTTCTGTTGACCTGGATGGGAGTAAAGTGAAGATTTATAGTTATTAGTTAACATTATACAAACATCCTATGTATTTTACTGTATGTCTACTATATTTCACAATAAAATTCTAAAAAGTTAATCCACCATCCAAATGACCTGAAAAGAAAATTAAGAAAACCATTTAATCTTCAGTTGCATAAAAAAAAGAATAAGATACTTAGGAATAAACTTAGCCAAGGAGGCAAGAGTCCTGTACACTGAAAAGTTACAAAATGTTGCTTAAAGAAATTAAAGAAAAAGATCTACAGATGGAAAGACTTCTTGTGTAAAGAGATTGAAAGACTTCATACTATTAAGATGCCAATACCCTCAGGTGATATACAGATTCAATCCATCCTAAAGTTCATATAGAATCTCAAAGGACTCTCTGAACAGCACAAAGAATCTCAAAAAATAACAAAGTTGGAGATCTCACACTTCTTGATTTCAAAACTTATTACAAAGCTACTGTAATCAAAACAGTGTGACAATGGCATAAAGACAGATATGTAGACCAATGAAAGTGAACAGATAACCCAGAAATAAACCCTGGCATACGTATAGGCAAATGATCCTCAACAAGGGTGCTAAGACCACTCAAAGAGGAAAGGACAGTCTTTTTACCAAAGATGTTGTGAAAACTGGATATCCATATGCAAAAGGATGAAATCAGACTTATCTTATGCAAACACAAAATCAACTGAAACTAGATAAAAGGCCTAAACATAATAACTAGTACAACTCCTAGAATAAAATGGAAGGGAAGACCTTTGTTAGACTGGGCAATGATTTCTTGGATATGTCACCAAATCCACAGGCAACCAACCAAATCCACAGGCAACCAAAGTAAAAACTGACATCGAAATTTAAAACTGCATCAAAGAATATGAGCAACAGAGTGAAAAGAAATGGGAGAAAATATTTGCAAATCATATATCTGGTAAAAGGTTAATATCTAAAATATACAAAGAACTCCTAGAATTCAACAACAAAAGAGCACACAGTCCTACCTAAAAATTGGCAAAGAACTTGAGACATTTCTCCAAAGAAGATTTACAAATGCCCAACAAAAACGTGAAATAATGAAATGATGCTCACCATCAGCAGATGGTGGCTGCCGGGGCTGGAGGGACAGGGTGATGAAGGGTTCTTTAATGGGTATAAGTTTCAGTTTTGTAAGATGAGAAAGATTCCAGAGATTGGTTACATAACAACCAATTTCTTGGTTGTTAAACTATATATTTAAAAGTGGTAAAAATGATAAATTTTACATTATGTGTATTTTACCACTAATTATACAGTTACTAATACAAGTATCAGAAATTATTTTTTTAAATGGAGTATAGAGCTACTCATAAACTGAAAATATAAAACTCTTATATGAAAACATAGGAATAAATGTCCATAAGCTTGGGTTAGGCAGTGGTCTTCTTACATAACCAAAAAGAAAAACAGATAAATTTAATTCATCAACGTTAAAATTTGCTTTAAAAGACAGCATCAGGAAAGTGAAGACAAATCACAAATTGGGAGAAAACATTTACCAATGATTTGTCTTTAAGGAACCTATAACCACAGCTTATGAAGAACTCTTACAACTTAACAATAAAAAGATAAATTACTCAATTGAAAAATGGATAAAGGACTTGAATAGACAGTTTTCCAAAGATATGAAAGCGCCCAATAAGCACCTGAAAACATGCTCAACAACATTAACCATTATGGAAATGCCAATCAAAATCCCAATCAGATACCACTTCAAACCTAGAAGAATGTCTGTAATCAAATAGATGAAAAATAACAACTGTTGGTGATGATGTGGACAAACTGAAATCCTCAAACATTGCTGGTGTAGCCACGGTGGAAAAGTTGGGCAGTTCATCAAAACGAGTTACATCACCAGTAATAAATACCACTCTTAGGTATACAGTAAATCCTCACTTAATGTCATTGATAGATTCTGGACTTTAAGTGAAACAACATATAATGAAACCAATTTTTACCATAGGCTAATCGATACAAACAAGAGTTAAGCTTTTACAGCATCACATCAATGTTATAACAAAACAACACTGAACAAATAGACATGCTAGGACCAGCTGTATACCCTATTATAACATTAGTCATAACGGCCCCAAACAATTGATGGATAAATAAAATGTGGTCTATCTATACTATGGAATATTATTCTGTTGTAAAAAGGATGAAGTACAGACAGATGCTACATATGGATGAGCCTTGAAATCATTGTAAGTGAAAGAAGCCAGTCACAAAAGGCCACGTATAATCCCACATAGGCAAATCTAGAGACACAGAAAGTATATTAATGGATGCTGGATGCTAGGGGAAAAGAGGGGAATGGGAATAACTTCTCATGGGTATGGGGTTTCTCTTTGGGGATATGAAAATATTCTGGAATTAATGGTAATGTTGCACAACTCTGTAACTAAAAATTCAAAATACAAAACAACTGAATTGCATATACTTTAAGGGTAAATTTTATAGCATGTGAATTTCTCCAAATGAAGCTCTCAAGGAAGCTGTTACTAAAAGTAAGGTAGGGTTCTATAACATTTTAGCAACATTCCTTATCAAAGTTATTTTTAATAAAACTTGTAGCACTTAAATTGTTACACAAGTATTATTGAAAAAAATCCATCATTTTCCCTTTCTCAGTGAAAAGCAGTACACACAATAGACCTCTGGGATTTGGCAACAAGGACTAGTGCCAAATAGGGACTTCAGGGACTATAGCCTCGTCAACAGGCAAGAGGGCCTCAGGGCTGGAGCTGAGCAAGGAGGTCTTGGGAAAATAGGCGACTGAGGAGACAAAACCTGTCCCCCTGGCAGGGGTGCAGCCCCTGCCTCCCTCACATCACCCTGCCTGGCCCCAGAGGATGGCTAGTTAATCAATGGTGGGTAAGACCCCTTGATGGCAGGGACAACCTAAGACAGGCAGTTGCATGGGGGCCATCAGGGAAGGGCTTGGGGGACATAGAGAAGGGGCAAAAAGACCCTCACCCCTTGGCTTTGATATGGCCGGAGTCCTCATTCTATCTGAAAGAAGTCTCCTCATCTCTTGGTGGCTCTGCCCCTCATGCCTGGCTCAGGCTTGAAACAATCCTAAAGGCAGGCACAGCGCTAAACTTGATAGGACGGTTGTGAGGGGTTGGGAGGGGCAGTGGAGGGGAGAAATTAGGCCTGGAAAAGAAATGCATTAAATCCTATTGAAACTTACTTGCTAAGAATGCCCTGGATTTAATGAGTATTGATGTTTGCAGTGAGCATAGAATGTGATCAATTTCCCAGGTTTGGGGCCAAATGGGCATCACCCTGTCTACCAGACCCTGACCTGAGGCAAATCTCTGTGTTCCTCCAATTGTTATCTATGATCTCTGTTTTCTGTAAACATGGCCTTTTCACATTGACTGATGACCTTTGCATAGATGCTGTATACCACTGCCTGTGGTTCTCAATAAAAGCCACTTCAAGAGAAAGGCTAAGGGCATTCTTCACTAGAGGGAATCACCACCCCTTTTTCCTGGCAGACCAAGTGTCTGGAATGACTTCCTCCATCCACAGCAACCCAGGGGGAATCTGTGGGGACGGGGCACCCCCCTCAGTGTGGAATTCTCACAACTTTAGGACATTTAAAAAAGAAACAAACCACAGAATACCTTGACTGCTTTAACTTTGATAACCTGTGGATGTTACGAAGGAGCTGTGGTTCTTCATTCTTCAAAACTGAAATAAAGTTGAAAACTTGGATTCATATTCAGCTCTGTAGTGTATTAAGCAACCATAATAAAATGACTGATTCTAAACTTTTTCATGCATTTCATGTTTTTTACTCTTGCTTTCCTTAGTGAACACATCTATTTTTTTCAGTTGGTGCTGAATCCTTTCTTTTTGAGGCAAGGCCCATCACTCATCCAGTGTGATTCTCATGGGAATTATAAGACCCAGGTCTGGCTGAGAGCCTGGCCCTACTCCTTATTCCACAGGGACCAGTGTATTCAAGGGCAGGTGATCCAGGGAAGACAATAGTTCTTTTGTAGAATTTGACATGTGGCCCCTGGAAAAGGAGGTTCTCTCCCCTTTTTGGATCATGGATCCTAAGGACGTGGCTTTTGGCTAACACCGGTCTCTTTCCCATTATGAGAGAAGGGCAGCCTGAAAGTGAGGCCAGGAAGCAAAAACAGTCACATCAAGAGACGGAGACAAAGGGCTCTGGCAACAGAATCTGGGGCTCTGCTTCCAGCTATGCCTAACATAGGATATTAAGATTTTGAGGCTGTCGGTTCAGAGAATCAGTGCAAATGAAGCATTTCTTCTCTCAGAAATCAAACACAGTTTATTTTAGAACTAAATAGGACAGACTGAATAAAAGAAAAGCTTTATTCTAAACTTTCCAGATAGATGTTTTCTTCCCAGGCTCCATGTTACTGATTTTAACAGTCCCATCAGTGGCTGTCATAGTATTCACAGAGGATGTATAAAGTGTATCATTTGGTTGAGTAGTCAAGTTTGAAAATAACAATCTTTGTGGTTTAGAACAATTCTTAAAACATGTTTATTATGTTCCCCACTCATAACTGGTCAATTAAATTTTTCTTCTAAAAATAACTTAGAGCAAGAGAATAATCTACTTCATACATATTCATAACCAGAACTCATCCATTCTCTCCAGGGTTCCATGGTCTAATCAAACAGGTGTGAGATAAAAGTGTATTTCCTATTTTGGTTTTCTGTGTTTTAATGACCAGAGGAAATCCTTTGTTGTTTTCATCTTGGTTTCAATATAATACTTATCAATATCCTTTTCTTCCTCTGAATCTTGATCTGGCATCCAACTGAAAATAAATGTACAATTAAATCAAATTTTGTACAACATAATTAATTAAATACAACTTTGGTAAAGGACATCAGTACAGGAGAGAAATAAACCAGTTTTGTTTCCAACACAATCAAAAAGGCAACTGTCACTGCTGTCACTATGGAGCATTTCCACCCTCTTTCCCCAAGCGGGTTTTCCTTGCCTCTTTCTTCTGAGCTCCAAGGGCCCTTCTCACTTTGTAACTCATTTCCTGAGCCCAATTCCTGAGTCCATTTCCTCAGTCCATTTCCTCTACAGCTCTACAGCTCACTTCTACCTCTGTGACTTTCTAAATAAAGTTTCTTTGATAGTTTGAGTCTTGGCTCTGAATTCTTTCTTAGCCAGAACCCAAGCACCAAGATGCTGAACTGGAGTCCAGTGTGCCTCCATGGGTCTAACACCTGGTGCTGTTTCACCGCCAACAATACAATGAACTCATTTTAAATGTACAATTCAAGAGACTTTTTGCATATTCACCATCATCACAATCACCCCCCCGTTCCTTCCTCCTAGTCCCTCTTCCCCCTGTCACCAACACTAGCAACCATTAACCTACTTTCCGCTTGTATAGGTTTGTCTATTTTGGACATTTAATATAAACACATACATGCAAAAAAAGGACTGAAAAATAAGTGAGCTATATTAATCTTAAAATGTTAGAAAAAGAAAAAATTACACCTAGATAGTAGAAATAGAAAACAAATAGAATTTTCTTAAAAGGCAATTTTCAGAACTATCAAAAAACCCTGCAGAGAACCCAAAATACTAAAGATGTAGTTAAAAACAAAATTTGCTTTTAAGGTCTCAATGAGGACTTTCTTCTCAAGTAGAATCCAAATTACATTTAATCTTTTTCTCTGAACTACACTCAAGATATGTTCTAGCAAACAACCTCTAGTAAGTCTTGTTTGGATTAATATTCAAATGTATCTGAAATATTTAAATAGCAACTGAAAGAAGAAAGAGCCCTGAAAAATGGTAACAAGTAACCATTTGGGGATTAAAAAATCTTTAAATTATCTATTCATAGAATGAGGTGATTACCTTCACAGTACAGCCTCTTAAGGGGAAGGGGAAGGGTGGAGGGTACAGGTCAGTGTATAAGGTAAATTTGCATAGTAATCAGTATTACTCCCTAGAAATTCTACAGGAATTATTTTAGAAATAAACCCTATTAATGAGTCCAACACAGCAAATGTGGGACAGACAGCCATTTTTTCATCTGATCACTACATGAAGCTAAGAGCCACATTTTCAAAAAATTAATAATCTTTAAACACGGGAATCATAAGCAGGACGATGAGCTATTTAGTACTATGAGAAAACAGGTAATTCAAACTTCCCATCAAACCTTCGTTCTGAGTTATACACTCGTTGTTTGAAGTATTAAGTAAAATGACCAGCACAATTTAAATTATGTTTCAGGTTTTTGCCAAGCATGTGTAACTGAAGTTGAATTAGTTAGGTGTGACGTTAGTCCTTTCTTGGAGAATTAATAGTGAATCACTATTTTATATTATACTTGTCAAGACTTCATTATCTTATCTGAAAAAATTCAGGAGATCAGCAGCTATGGTTAGTGTAGTAGCAGAATAACATAACAGTCCACTATGGGTTTTCATGAATGCTACCTCACATTAACTCACTGGAGTTCTGAATAATGTCACTGCAACCTATTTATAATAATTAAGTCACTTACATATTTAATTCCACAAAGATAACTTTCAGTGTAAGCTTTAAAAAATCTTTTCTTACCATTGATCTTTTACATTCAAAAAATGAATATTTCAAAGCTTTGCAGTTTCCTTCCTTGAGACATTGCCGCGGAGATTTTCCTTCCTGTGACAAATAAAACAATATAAATACCTGGAAATTTTTTAACAAATGACAAAATAAATAACCTTCTGAAAATAGTTCTTTTTTAAAAATGCCAAAGAAAACAGTAAATTATGTAAGAAACAGTTCATAATTCATTTTGATTATTGGTGCTTTAGGAGAAAAGGACAGAATGAAAAAAATTGTGTAAACTAATTCTGGGCACTTTAAGGGGCCCTTGAGTACTTTTTTTTTTTTTTTTTTAAAGATTTTATTTATTTATTTTTAAAGGAGAAGAGAGGGAGAGAAACATCTATGTGTGGTTGCATTTCTTGCACCCCCTGCTAGGGACCTGGCCTGCAACCCAGGCATGTGCCCTATACTGGGAATCGAACCGGCGACCCTTTGGTTTGCAGGCCATCGCTCAATCCACTGAGCCACACTGGTTAGGGCTTGAGTTCTTGAAAACAGTGGTTTCCACAGGGTATTTTTCTGTAAAATGTATATATAAAAATCTAAAAATTGGTGTCTCCAGCTGCTTATGGGTAGGAAAGGGAAAGAGTAAAAGTGAAAGTTGTAATGGTTTCTTCAGTGTTCTTAAAATGTTTACACTGGAGAACTAAAGACAGAAGAAAGTCGTGTGTATAACAGAGAGAGAATACATGTGTATGAGAGATCAGGCATTGTGGTGAATGGGAGGGCTTGTTCTGGAATCAAGAGGCTTTAAAGTCTCCACTTATATTTTTTTAATGCAAGTATTTCACCTCCAACACATCTCTGCATTTTCCCACCTCCTGACCCCACAGTCAAGCTCTCTATTCTGAGAAGCTCAACTGAGTAAGAACTGCAAAAGGAAAAGGAGATATGAGTAGAATTGACAAGTCTTGTGAGAGAAGATCTGCCTGAACCTGATGTAAAATTAACTCATCTTTAAGCAGTGAAAACTCAAAAGGAGGTTACGAAGGAAACTGGATCAAACCATCATTCCCTTCTGGCCATCAAGGCAGGATGCTGCTATAAGAATGTTCACAGGAGATATGCTTACTTCTGACTCTTAATAAATAACCCCTTTTTTTCTTTAAAGCTATAACTTAAGAATCCCACTTGACAAAGTAACAACTGCAAAATTTTTAGGTCAGAGCTAAAATTCAATAGTATTTTCCTTTTAAGATAACATGCAGTAAAAAATCCTACTGCTACCTCTGCATTATCTTAAAATATTTTAAACAAATGTATAAATTTAACTTAACACAAAGGCACTTAAATATATGGACACAGATGCATCTGCAGAAGGTATATTTCACAGTTCAAAAAGGCAAAGTTAAAATTTAATTGCTACAAAATTTCTCTTTTGAATACTTAAAAAAAAAATCCTCACCTGAGAATATGTTTTTTACTGAGAGAGAGAGACAGCCAGCCAGCCAGCCAGCCAGACATCAACTGATTGGTTGCCTCCCATATGCACCCTGACCAGGTACTGAACCAGCAATCTAGGTATGTGCCCTAACGAGAATCGAACCAGCAACTCCTTGGTGTACAGAACGATGTTCCAACCACTGAGCAACCTGGTCAGGGCACAATTTCTTTTTGAATGCCCTACCCTACTAATGTGTCTAGTAACTAAACCCTCACAAGGACTAATTTACTAAGAAATAAATAAGCAAATAAATCAGAATAGTCCTAGGTCAATTTAGTGGGAAGATAAAAAATGACTATGTACCGGATATTCCTGCCTACCCAGGGCTTTTCATACCAGGTAGGAAAGAAGGTGTACACAAGCAAAAACTAACTGGCAGTGTGAGCACATCACAAGGCAGGGGGAGTGCCTGCTACAGGGTTAACGGGCAACTGTTAAAGGGGTTCAGTTTCCCAGGAATATAAATATATAAAACACCTGGAAAAAGCAGACTGAACTTGAATTTTTTGAATTACATGGGGTTTAATGACATCAAACTATGATTTGCAATTCATGAGGAAAATAAAAACATTATTTGACTATTAAAGAAATATTAATAAAAGTAAAACTTTCACTGCTTATAAACATCAACCTTATGCAGTACTTGACAATATAAATGAAGATTATTATATCTTCCTACTCAAGGTGAGTTCCAATGTAAAATGACTCAAGCAATTTTGATGATAAAAAAGGCTGTTTAGTGTTACTTTAGAAGCTCAAATAGCCAGAAGTAGGTGCCCTAAAATCAGAACATTTTTAGTGTTAGTACTAAACACTTTAGGTAGATGTTAATGGAAGAAAGATGGAGTACTACTTAAATAGAATCATCTGGTGTATTCATGCACTGGGAAAAATTAACCCAAATTTTATCTATTCTGCATCTTCAGAGGCTTCCCCGCAAGCAGATGTTGACACCCCTATCTCACCCCTGCAACCACTCCCCAAAACCACCAGAGAAGACAGGATATTGTCTTCTCTGTTTTTGCCTCTGTACTGCCCTTTTATATTCCAGTTGAAGTCACCTTTCAGGATGAATTTCCCACAAACTGTAAACGCGCTTCCCTTTAAAGGAATGTTTATAAACATTAGGCTCTCCTAGGTGGCCAAGGTCAGCATCAATAAGGCCACAAAGCAATGGGGGAAAGAAAAATCTCTGCCATGTGTCCTGGTCATTATCTCTTTCTACCACTTTGTAACTTTCCAGATACACAGTTTCCACACAGGAGAGAATGTGTCCCATTCATCTGTCTGTTCCCTGACTTAGAGCTTGGCACTGAAATGTTTGCTAAATAAACGATTCAATCATTGTAACAAGCCACTGAAGTTTCTTTTCTCAGTCTTACTCCATGTACTTTATTCCCTTGATTGCTCATCTCCATGGCCTTCTTGACACTGAATGTCAGGATAAAATCCAAACTCCTCACTCTTGACATACAAGAGCTTTCACAGCCGGCAGCCTTCCTCTCACCACTCATGTCATTTTCCCCGTCCTTCAGGCCCAACAAGCACTAGCTTCCTCCGGCCTTCTCACACCTTTGTAACTATGCACAGGCTGTTCCTCCAGATTCTCCCCAGACCCGACTCCTTTAATTAGAAACTACTACTCCACCTTTAAGACTAAGATAAAATGTCACCTCCTCTGTGAGAAATTTCCAAATTCTCTAGTAAAATGAGGCGTTCTCCACTGGGCTCCAAAGGCATTTTGCTCCTAAATTTACTCATTAAGTAAATGCTTACTAAATGTTTAAACGGCCCTTGTCACAGGAATTTAGCCCCTTACAGGTCTATTCTTCCCGTCAGACCACGCTTGTGTAGGTAGTGACTGTAATGGATTCCTGCGTGTCTCCAGTGCTTGGTATCATGCCTGCCACTTAACAGGTATTTATTAGGAGCTGGCTGAATAGTTGTACCAAAGAATCAGCAGTCTGGAAATCGCACTGGACAGGAGAGTGTATAGACAGGACACCTCAGTTTTCTCACTTGTAGGTGGAAACCGATCTACATAACCTCTTAAATTAACTCAAAAGTTTTATAGACACTGGGAGGCAAGTCTGCCTGACTGCTAAAAATCAGTGAACCAAAAGTAAATCATGAATCAGTAGAAAGACTGACACAGGCTTATGGCTATATCCATTTTGGGATAGTTTCCTTTGAAACATCAACTTTCTTAAATTGTATATCCAACTGCACACAACTGATTACTCTCTGTAATTGGAAAAAGCACCCAGAACCCAGCTCAGTGGCAGCATACAATGTTTCTTCAACTGAAATGGTTTGTCACGAAAATCCAACGGGTGGGTAGCTTTATCTCCACTTTAAAACCGAAGTGAACTGAGGCTCCGACAGTGGATATATCCAAGTTTATTAAGCAGGAGCTGTCATCTCCACCTAGAACCAATAACTGAGTCACGTGGTCTTACCGCCACCGCAGGGGGCCTGGGACGCCCCCCCCCCCGCCCCCGCCTCCCCATTCCAGCTTTGGCTGCCACCGCCTGAGCTACCTGGAGCACACAGTCGGACTGCAACAGACATGCGCCCAGGTCCTCCCTCACGCCGGCGCACGCGCCGCCCTTCGGCTTGTCTTCGTAATACCGAGGCATATCTTCTCCTCCCACCGGCCACAGCTCGCAGTGCTTCAATTCTCAACGGCGACACCCGCTGCGGACAGAACCGGAAAGCGGCAGCAACAACTTCCGGCGAGCTCACCCGAGCTACGAGTAGGAGAGGCCGCGGGCGGCGGAAGTAGGCGCAGGTCACGTGTTGCGCCCCAGATACTGTCTACGTTGCGGGAAGGGAAGTTAGCCCAGAGGCTGTCCCAGCTGCTAAATCGAGGTTGCGGCTAGTTTGGAGCCGGTGGAGGCCCTAGCGGCGCTCCAGGTGAGTCCTGAGGAGGACTATGTCCGGGCACGGCTTTGGCTCGCCCGGTCCCGTTTCCTCCCGCCACTGGCGGCCCGACCTCTCGGGGGCTGGAGTGACAATCGCGGGACGTCCGGTGGGGTGACGGGATAAAATGTGGGACGCTCAGCTACAGTTGAATTTCAGATAAAATAAACAACAAATACTTTTTAGTAAGGAAATCCCCCACGCAGTATTTCAGACGTACTTATACAAACAGGCATTCCTGTATAGGATTCCAACGTCAGAGGACGACTTTATTTGTTATGTTTGGCAGCCCTACCCTGGGCCGGGGCTGCCGGGGAGCGGCCTGTGTCCGGAGGTTGGGGAGCAGAGCTGGCGACGGGGCCGCCGGGGCGGGGGGCGGGACCATGACTGACTGCCCTCACTTAGCTTCAGAATGGTTCAACCCCGTCTCTCACTGTGACGTCCCTCTGCGGAATTATTCATGAAAAAAAATACTGGATTTAGTTTTTGCTATATTTTTATAACACCTTCTAGTGAACGAGTTGCTTGCTGGCAATGCTTTGGTGGACCACCAGTGTGATGAAGTCATTTACTTCTCCTTGGTAACATCATTTCGTTTCTAATTGGCCTAAACAAAGGCTTTCTCTTAAGGCTTGGTGTTTAAGAACACAGGGTTCTGAGCTGGAACTTGAATCAGAATCTCAGTCTCCCTCTCTTCCTTCCTTTTCTTCTCTCTCCGTCTCTCCCTCTCCATCCCTGCCTTCCCCCACACCGTCTCTCTCTCTCTGTAGCTGCTATTACCTGGGAGGACTGTTTTGAGGACTGAGGGAGGTGAGGTGTGGGAAATGTATGGCCCCTGTATGATTGTTACTACGGTGCCGCCCTTGGCTGAAGTGCAGTAAGCAGGACTCAACCAAGCTTCAAAAACAACTCCATTTGCATTGACCACTGACTTTTCTCAAGGATTGGAGAAGTGTCAGGTGACCTCCCTCCCATATGACTCAGAAGAGGCCTGCTAGTACCCAACACTTTCTTCAGATTACGAATAAAGATTTTCCTTCTCTCCCCCCATAGGAAGATGCTACCAAGTACTTCAGTGAATTCCCCAGTGCAGGGGAATGGAGTGTTGAATTCCAGAGATGCAGCAAGACACACAGCAGGAGCAAAGCGCTACAAATATTTGAGAAGGCTTTTTCGTTTTCGGCAAATGGATTTTGAGTTTGCAGCATGGCAGATGCTCTACCTGTTCACTTCCCCACAGAAGGTTTATAGAAACTTTCATTATCGAAAGCAGACAAAAGATCAGTGGGCCAGAGATGATCCAGCTTTCTTGGTCCTGTTAAGTATCTGGCTATGTGGTAAGTGTGTTGATCTTCAGTACAGTTGAAAAACAAATTGAGTGTTTGATTGGACTTGTCATTTGGAGCTCTTTTGTTATAACTGTTCTGGGTCAGAGTTTGGGTATATTTAAAGCTCCTTCCTCTTTTGTGAAGTCTCCAAAATCTCACAGGAGAGAAATCTGTATTCTGCCTGGTTCTGAAGGGCCCAAGCAGATGCCAGAGTAAATCATTACCTCAAAACTATAAAAAAGTAGAGGGACAGAGTCATTTCATGTCTTTTAACTACAGTGATAAATACATTGATACCCAAATGCAAACTTATCGTGAAAGGGAATATCAAGATTGGAAATTGCTTTTCACAATTAGGGAAATCCGGAGGGAGAGTTGAGTTCTAAAAGTGCAGTATTGATAGGAACTTGAGAAAGTACTTGTAAGTTCTCCAATAGTGTAGCGAAAGGATCCTGTGAGCCTTTAAGGAAATGAAGTGTGTAGATTTTTCTCACCTTTAACTTACCTGAAATATATGAGTGTCTTTCCAGTACTGATGGTATTCCAAAAGCTGGGCCACCCTGGTGAGCCACACACAGGGGCCTCCTTGGTAAACTTGAGGTCTTTAAGTGGCCATTCCATGCCCTTAATCACATAGAACATAGCTTGGGGGTTTTGTTTACATGTCTGTCTCCCCCACTGGACCATGTGAATTTGGAGGGCAGGGACTGTATGCCTTATATCCCTAGAACCTTGCAAACTGCCTGAATGAAACTTGTAAATCTTTCTTTCAGTGTCTACTGTAGGATTTGGCTTTGTGCTGGACATGGGATTTTTTAAGATGATAAAGCTTCTCCTTTGGGTTGTATTCATAGATTGTGTGGGTGTTGGTCTTCTCATCTCAACTCTAATGTGGTAAGTACCATATGTTTGGTTCTTCTAATACTACTGTAGAGCCTCCTTTGCTTGCTTCACAGATACAGTAGCTGATGGAAATCGAATCAAGATAGGTAAACTGAAGGCATCCATTTTGACTCTCTAGATTAGTATAACTTGCCCTCTTACATCTACCTGTATCAGAAAATACACTAAGGTTATGGTCTATATTGTCAAAGTGAATTGAAATAATGATTATATCATACTGATAAAATCGCTGATTTTGCAAAAATATGATGTAGTTAGCCAATTCTGCTTAAGTTGTCTGGATGAAGGCTCACTTTTCTCCTGCCTTTGTCACAACTAAAATGTATAAGGTCTAGAAGGTTATTTCATGGAATCTTACTTTGAGTTTTTTGTGATAAATGTAGCACATTTGAAAAGATTTTTTTCATTAAACTTTTGGTGCCTTCCTGCTGAGGGAGACACACACACACACACGCACACATGCACGCACACACACTCAGGTGTTATTGAAAGGAGTCTCAGTTTGACATTGTCTAGGTTTAGTTTAACAACAGCAGTGTACTGAGTGTAAATCTGGTATTTGGTTTTTCATTGTTCTCAGAGATACAGGGCTCCTTTGCTGGTGGCGTGATGAATGAAGGGGGATGAATGTGATCGGTGAGCTTAGAAGATGGCCAGTGATTGAATAGGGCTGGTGGTCATTGTATATCAGAGAAAACACTCTGGAGCATTTTAATCACAGAGAGACCTGGGTTCATATGCCAGCTCAGCCATTTACTGCCAGCTCAGCCATTTACATCCTCTTGTAAAATGAAATTATTTTGTAAGGTATTTGAGAAGCTTGTGGTAGGAAAAGCATCTGGCATATAGTAAGTGCTCAGTAAATGGTAGCTATTAATGTTTTAAACACAATTCTAAGACTACAACCTCTGAAGATACCAATCTTTTATCTTCCTTTATAACTTTAGTACAGTACAGGTTTTATATGTGCTAGCCAATAAAATGTTAATGTAAAATTCTAAAATCTGACCTAAAAATAATACTGCTAATGTAAATCACATATTCGTTGTCCAAATATCCATGAAAAACATGGTATATGGAAAAATTTCAATGAGGCTTTCAAGGGAATAGTTTAGTTTGTTTTGGGTTGGCCAAAAAGTCTACATGGTTTTTCCATAAAATAAAAGACACGTTTTTCATGTTCACCAATAACTTTATTGATTGAGATATTTTGAGTATGTCAGCTATCTCCCACTATTGTCTTCTTGTGCGTAGAGGCCAGGAGTGCTGATAAACACCTTCCAATTCGTAAGACAGCCTGTCCACAGCAAAGAACTTTTTGGCCAAAATGTCAGTAGTACCCAGAAACTTTTGAAACCACTTTTGACACATTCGATCTGTCACAGGCGCCTTCTCCATACACTGCACAAATCTTTTTTTTGAGTTTCAGTTACATTTTTACCTTCCTCGAAATAATAAAGCATAACATCAAAAATGTTGTGTATCTTCTTCCATCTTCAGTATTAAAATGGCTGCACAAAAAATTCAAATTTCAGTAAGTTTTTTTAAATGCACAATAATACAACAGCTGTCACAATGCAATCTAACAAAATTGTTTCGAATGAAGTTAAAGACAGCTAAGCACTACTAGAACCATCATGTGGAAAAACATAACAGACTTTTCTGGCCAGCCCAATGGCCCGCTTTCTGCCATGAGTGTACTGATTGTGGAGGGACACAGAAACCAAGTCATTCTGGAGTTTAGTACCTTTAGTATAACTATATGATAGTGTAAGTTAAATAGAAAAGGACTCAGTATGTTTTTGTAAACCTATGTTGTCTTGTAAATGATGTGAGGAGCTAAAAATAGAAATGATGACATGTGATTGCTTGTCATCCCAGAGGCACCACAGGAACTAGCATGAGGAGGTGTTCGGGGAGGTAGGATTGATGATCTCTAGTACCAACTGCAAAGACATAGAAATGTAGTCAGCATGCTGGGTCCAAGAGTGTAGGCTGACTCTGAATGGCTGAGGAAGACATTTGATTAGAGAAATTGTTCTTACATGCAATTCAGGAAAAATTATTTGACTTTATCTCAGAGGCTGTTTTTATAGGTTTAGGGATGAGATTTGTGGAGCTTGGAGGCTCTGAAGTAAGGAAATAACATCAAATTCATACTTCAGAAAAAGTCTTTTTCTATGGCAGTGGAGGAGGAGAAGTTGGAGAGTGGTAAGGCTGGATACAGTTGTGGGTCTGCATGAGTAGAGGAGGCCCAGGCTAGTATGATGATCATAGGACGAGAGGAGAGAGATGAGCTAGCAAGCTTCCTGTGATAAGAGGATATATATGATGAGGGCAGGGAAGAAGAGGAGACCATAGCCTCCCTTGGGATGGCCGGCAAGTTTTTGGCTTAGGAGTAAGTGGTGGGTATAGATGAAGGATTCCATGTTGCACCCTGAGTTTAGGCGGCATTTTGAATATGTAGTGGAAATAAAGGTTCATTAGCTATTAGGGTACATGACTCTGAACCTACAGCAGCCTGGGCCAGGATGAGGACACAATTGGCTTCATTAATGTGAACGTGGAAGGGGGAAACCACCATTGTCTCTGCACTTTCTCGAAAGGAGTGTCTGTGCTAGAGGTGACACTCTCTCTGAGGACAGAGTCCTGGCACGTGTCCATTTAAGGAATAACCAGAGGAGTAGAAACAGCAGCAGCAGGATCACAGAATGGGAATTCTTGAGTAGTGAGCTAGATTCTTATTCCATTCATTTGATGGCACATGTTTTGGCTAAAAGGGAAAATGTATTGGTAAGTTCCAGTTTGTTCAACAAAGCAGTATTCTTTTGACATTTTTAAGGTACCTGAGTGTAGAACTGTTTTATTAGTACTGTACTTTGTTCTTCCTCTTGTTTCCATGTTTTTCCTATTTTTATTTCTAATGTAAGCATACCATTTTAAATGTATCCTTGAAATGAAATCACACTTACAGAAATCTATTGCATTTCCACAACTCTGTTTATAATACAAATGATTGTTTGTTCTTTTCCTTTAAAGATCTATTTTTCTATTAACTGGATATTTTATTTTTGAATTTATTTATAATTATAGTTGACGTACTGTTAGTTTCAGGTGTACAACGTAGTGATCAGACATTTATGTACCTTACAAAGTGGTCACCACAGTAAGTGTATTAGCCATCTTTTACTGTATAAAGTTATTTTGATATTGACCATTCCCTGTGCTGTGCATTACATCTCCATGATATAGTTTATAACTGGAAGTGCGTGCTTCTTAATTCTCTCCTCTTTTCCACCCAACCACTTCCCCCACCCCAACAGCCATCAGTTTGTTCTTGGAGTTTGTTTCTGTTTATTTTTTGTTTTGTTTTTTTAAGATTTCACCTATAAGTGAAATCATGATATTTGTATTTCTCTATTAAACTGATTTCATTATTTTTTCATGACTGAGTAATATTTCATTGTACATATATATTATGTTCTCTTTATCCATTCATCTATGGATGAACACGTAGGTTGCTTCCATATCTTGGTGCCTGCAAATAATGCTTCAATGAACACAGAGGTATACATGTTTTTGTTTTCTTCAGATAAGTATTCAGAAGTGGAATTGCTGGGTCATACAGTAGTTCTGTTTTTAATTTTTTGAGGAAACTCCATACTGATTTCCATAGTGCCTGCACCAATTTCAGTCCCATCAGGAGTGCACGAGGGTTACCTTTTCTCCACATCCTTTGCAGAAGCTTACCTTTTGTGATAATAGCCAATCTGACAGATGTGAGCTAATACTTCATTTTGGTTTTGATTTGCATTTCCCTGATGATTAGTGATGCTAAACATACTTTGATATGTCTGTTGGCCATCTATGTATCTTCTTTAAATCAGTTTTTTTTCAATTACACTTGACTTATATTACTAGTTTTGTGTGTATAATATAGTACATTTATATAAGGGGACGCTCTCCCCCCACCAAAATGAAAATTATTTTCTGGAGGGTGGGTCCCTTGTAATAGAGGTTTCCCCCACTAGGTGAGTGTTCTAGGAACCCATCAGTATCAGTGTGCGGGCTGGTGTTGTGAGAGGCTCATTCAGCTTCGGTGAATTTTTTTTGAAGTCTTTCAGTGCATTCGGCCATTTCATGATGGCTGATTTAGGAGTACGTGTGCCCACACTGTGCTGAGTGTTCAGCAGTTTTTGACAAAAAAAAGCATGACTCCCCTTGGCGCTATTCACCCGATCTCAACCGGAGTGGCACTTTTTTTGTTTTCATGGATGAAAGAAGTCCTCAAAAGGAAATGTTTTGCCGATGTGGAAGAGGTAAAACAAAAAATGTCAGAAGCACTATTTCAGGCAAAAAATTGATGAGTCCAAAAACTGTTCTGAGCAATGGAAAAAAGTCTCAGATGTATGCATTAAGTGGAGAGTACTTTGAAGGTGACTAAAGTTTAAACATGTAAGAATAAATACACAATTTTTTATAAATAAATTCTGTGGGCTTTTTGGGGGTCCTCCCTCATATAGTACAGAAATTTATATAACGTATAAAGTAATCCCCTGATACGGCGAGTACTCCTCAACACTACACATGGGTGTTACAGTATCATTGACTATATTCCCTATTCTCTACATTACATCTCCATGATATAATTTATAACTGGAAGTATGTACTTCTTAATCTCTCCCCTTTTTTACCTAGATCCCAACTCCCCTTCAGTAGCCATCAATTTGTTCATTTACTATGTGTTTTAAATTCCATATGTAAGTGAAATAAATCATATGATAGTAATCTTTTTTGGGGGGAGGGATGCCTTTTTACTTAACATTTATTGATTATGCTATTACACTTGTCCCACTTTTTTCCCCCCTTCCCTTTATTCCCCTCCACTCTGCACTTCCCCTCCTCACAGCATACCTCTTACCCCGCCTAGTTCATGTCCATGGGTCATACATAGAAGTCCTTTGGTTTCTCCATTTCCTATACTATTCTTA